CTTCTCCGGCGACCTTCAACGAGCTTCTTTCTGCTGTTTTTGGTGGAGATTAGAGGTGCTTTCATTCCCCCTGTCTCGATTCAAACTGCAAGAGGTTCGACATCGAGTTTAGCCTTCGGTTTGTGTGGTTCCTTTCTTTTTGGCCGCTGTTCTACCGTTGCTTTATTTTTCCTTACTTGTGGGGGGTTGTTTTCGGTTTAGGTTTAGGGTCTCGGGCCGGTTTGGTTGTGTATGTCGCGTTGTATGTGTGCTTGTGTTGATTTTGTGCTTTAGTGGGTGATATTGGAGGCTGAGCCTAAAAACCAAGCTCTATTCAAACTTTTCTTTGTTTTCGTTGATTTTTTTTTAATAAAATCAAGTTTAACAATTTTGGATCATATATAAAGCTACGTTATGAGCATGTGAACTATTTGTTATATAATAACAATAATTTAATATAATTATTGGGTAAGTATTAAATGTATATATATAGATGTTTGTGTGTGTACGGATGTATGTTTATATGTATATAAATATATGTGTATTATATTGAATGTATTTGAAAGCAAACAATTAATGCACAGGAGAAGGGGACAATTAATGCAGAGAGAGAGGCAAGGGAAATGACTGTGAATTGTATTTTTATTGCCTAAAGCACTGAATAAGACTTGTCAAGCGACTGCCGAATGGCCGGGACGGGCAAAGCCGGAAGAGGATCCCTCAATAAATCCTCTTGATTGCGATTGAAGCGATTTTGCACCATACTGGGAGTCGACAGTGACGGCGGAAGCAAAATTCAGAGAGAACAACAAAATCGAAATTCGGTAAAAAAACCCTATGAGTGTGAGAGGAGTAAGGTCGAGAATGAATACAAAAAGGTTTTTATTTTATTTTAAATTTATCTTATTATTTTAATTGATGAGTTTTATTTTAATAATTTTATTTTAGTTTTAATTGTTGTGTTTTAATTTTAATGATTGCGTTTATTTAAAAATATATGTATAAATAAATATAATGATATTTATGTAAATAATTAAAAGTAACGATATGTATATAATGGGGTAGGGTCTACCGTTACTAAAATAAAAGATATAAATTTTGTAATTAGACAATCTAAAATGAATATATATAAACTTTAAAAATGGATGAAGAAACTATACAAAAACTAAATATTTAATTTAATATTTTAAAATAAAAAATTATGAATAATAAAAATTATGTAGAAAAGCAAGTCTACCGGACTACAGTTTTAATTGTTAATATGTAGTACTATATTAATGCTCTTTATGCTCAATTTTATTTTTATTTATTTTAGATTATTACAAATCGTAAAAAAAATTTATTTGTTTATAATTTTTATTAATTTAAAATATAATTTAAAAATTATTTTAAATAAAAAATAGCACTTAATTTACCCAAAAAATATTAAAACTATTTATCCAAAAATTATTCAAAAAGTAAAACAAACAATGAGTGTGTTTGTTTGATATTTTTATTTTAGGTATGAATATATATATATATATATATATAATATAATATAATATATAATAATTTATATTAAAATTATTAATAAATGAATAAAATATAAGATCGAAATGATGGACATGACATATGAAAAAATTGAAATATTATTAACAATATTGTACTATTTTGAAAATTTTCAAATAGTTGTTGAATTGTGTGTAAGTAACTTTACTATCTCTTAAATTAAATAATTAATTATAATATTGTCATTAATGGGTATAGATACACTGTTATTAGATAATAGGTTTTTTAAATTAAATATTTTATTCCTTCGTCAAATTTATTTATTTATTTATTTTTAACTATGTCTGTTACATTTATCATAATTACTAATTTTAGCAAAGTCAACAAATATTACTGTCTTTATTAATTCTTTTTTTCCATTTTCTTTAATTTTAACAAATTTTTCAAAAATATCATCAATTATCTTTTTAACTTTATCACTTTTTAATAAAATATTTTTTTAATGGGTAAACTGTTTTTTTAGTCCCGTAACTTGACCCTTTTATCATTTTAGTCCTGTAAGTGGAGCCTGTCGCAAACTAGTCCCATAAGTGAAAAAATTTCGCTGTTTTAGTCCTTCGGCGTCGGAAACGCCCGCGTGGCTCGCCGGAGATGACGTGTCCGCCAGGTGTCCCGCCAAATTAGCGACACCTGGCGGACACGTGGATTTATTTATTTTTTTTTATTTTTTTTTATTTTTTTTAATTGGATCAAATAAAAAAATAAAAAAATACAAATAAAATTTAAAATAAATTTTAAAAAATGAAAAATAAAATAAAAATCCACGTGTCCGCCAGGTCAGCGACACCTGGCGGACACGTCACCTCCAGCGAGCCACGCGGGCATCTCCGACGCCGGAGGACTAAAACAACGAAAATTTTTCACTTATGGGACTAATTTGCGACAATGCTCCACTTACGAGACTAAAATGATAAGGGGGTCCAGTTACTGGACTAAAAAAACAATTTACTCTTTTTTAATCCATGTGTCATAACAAATGTTCTAATTTTACCAGACGAATGAGGTAATATATTCATATTTTTTAGCATAATAAAAATTACCACTTCGTCTTTAAAAATTAATTTGAAATATTGATTTTTGGGGTTTGTTCATCCAATATTTTTGGGCACAATATCCTATAAATATTATAAAATATACTCCTTTCTAATTTTTATTGTTCTATAGTATATTTGGATGACTTCTTAGATAATTATTTTTTTGTTATTAATAGACAAATTTACCCCATATGATACAGTATATATTAAAAGTGATAAATGAATGAAAAATAAAAAAATTAAAATTTGTGTTTAAAAAAAAAAAAAGGACAATAGTTGTTTAACATTTCAAATTAAAAAATAAGATATTAGTTTGTGGACGGATGGAGTAATATATATCTATATTTATATTAACATAATTTATATATGTTAGGAACCATTTTGCAAGGTTTCAAGTCCTTGTCTCAAAATTCGATAGTGTGCACTCGAATCAAGCGATTGTAGGTTGGAGGATTGAGCCGACTAGGTCCTGATATGCATTTTCAAAGAAATTTGTTGAACTTCGAGAAGAAATGCTCTTGTTACCGGGTGAGGGCCTAAATCGGTATTGATCGAGAAACCCTCTAATCTTCCGTGTGAGTTTAACGGCCTGTCCGGATATGCACTCAAAAGTACTTGAAATCTCTACAGATTAGACTAAAGATTTCTTGACCTTCTCAAAAAGTCTTTCTCTAAGTGATGGATCTTATAATTGTTCGATCCAAGATTAGAACATGTTTGCAAACTTAGAAACCCTAAATTTAGAGCAGTATGTGATAGTTGTTCAAATGATTTGGGAACTGCTCCAAGTAAGTCATCGACTATGGTAACTAGTTTTGTAATTTGTAAAGATTGCAATGCCTGAAACCATACCAAGTTATTCATATTTGTGTATGGATTGTTTGGTGGTTGAAACACCAAAATGATGTTGAATCCATCCGTGTTTGCTATTTGGATCAAAGTTGTTGATATGCGGCTTTGCGTTATCTTGTTGAATAGTGATGTTCTTGTCCATGTTAGTTGGTCACTTCTCCTTTATTGTTTATATCACATGTTATAAAGTCACCAATGAGTATTACTCGCGTGATTCTTATTTTGGAGACTTATACTTGTGATCGATATCCCAATGATAAAATATTTCTGAGGGATAAAGAAATCTAGTTATAGAAATACAAAGTGAAACAACATACCTTGTTGATTAAAAGTTCCTTTGTGATGGATTCTAATGATTTTGTAACCATTGTTTCGACTGCTCTGTTCTTTGAACTTCTTTGGACTGGAACCTTTTCTGTAAAAGGGAAAATGTCTATTTTCCCATCGAATATGCATTTTTCATTTCTTGTATACATCGGTCTAACAACTGCATATAAGAACATTACCTTCGTGATGAATATTTTACTCTGACCGGCCCTGTACGGCTCGGGCTCATCGGGTGCTAGATAATATCTTTCATCTCCCTTGTAAGAGTGAACTACTTTTCAACTATATGGACAACTTGTGCCATGCTTCGAAACTTGATTACTTTCGACGAATTGTCAATCTGTAGTGAGTTGAGGCTGAACTTCAACCTCTCTCTCTATCTTGTTTTTTTCGTTGAAGGAAGACTTGATAGCATTCGTATGTAGTCTGATCAACCCCAACTTTGCACAATTCTTGATAGTATTCTTGTTACATTCGTCTCTTTTGCAATATTTTTATAAATACCTCTTTGTGCACAACTACATTTTGTAAAGTAGTTTTTATCAAACTCCTTCCTCTTAATCCAAGGAGGTCTTCTTTCGTATTTTTTATAAAATTTTTATAATTCATTTTCAAATTTTATTAATTATATTTAAAGATTTTAAATTAAAATATAAAAAATATCATTTAAAATTTGATTCTTTTTATTTTAAAATTTTAATTCAAAGATAATATGTAAATTAAAAATAAAATTACAATCTAATATTAAATTATTTATATTTTAAAATTTTATAATTATATTTAATAATTTTAGTATAATTAAAATTTTTAGATATTTTTATTTAAATTTAGTATCTCAATTATAATTTTAAATTTTTAATTCAAGTATAACATATAGATTAAAAATAATTATATAATTATATTTTTTACTTTTTAAATATAATATATAAAATAATTATTTTGATATTATAGTATTGTATTTATTATTATTAAAAGCAATAATTTTAAAAAGTACTTTAATGTGGTTACCAATACAATCAGGTAAAAAATATTTTTCTCAAAGCAGAAGCCGAAAAGCTCTTGACAATCCAAACGAGCCCAAATCCGAAAGAAAATACAATAATTTTATACACAACATTTATATCAAATATTTTTCAATTCACAACATAATATATATTGTACAAAGCAACACACCATTTGTATTGTTCTGTACCTTCCGTACCGTGTTGTTTATCATAACTCAGCTCACATTTAATATATATACATTTTTTTTAAAAAAAAAAAAAAAGGAAAAGCCTTGATTCAAGGACCATTTCCGGGCTGGATCTTTTGTTTCGAACTCGGGCTCTGCCTGGTTATACCTACAAAGTCGCTATGTGTAAGCATAGCGGGATAAGACCCGAATTTGAGACAGACGATCTCGTGCAGGCTATTTAATATTATTGTTTCACACAAAATATGCAAAATATGTAATGTAAGTGTGTACCGTAGGCGTAGGTATCATCTTCTGCTAAAGGTTTCGGGATCTTCGACATGGCCGTGAAGCCGAGGCCGAGGCCGAGGCACCATCATCTGGCTGTGTATCTCATTCTGATTCCTCGCAGCCTCCCGACTCCTCCGCCATCTCAAAAACTCCACCAGAAGAGAACTTCCTGATATCGCCATGCCAAGTCCAGCAAAAGTCGACAGAAGGATCGAAAGGACTGCTTGAACATGAACCTAATGCCCTCCATCCATACAACTTCACCAACTCATTTTGCAAAAACACAACATGTTTATAGCAAGTTGTTCTTACCAAATTGTAAAAGATATGCGCGAAGAAGACGATGAGAGCGAACTGAACCACGGCATGCAACCAGACAAATCTTCTCTTCGCTGAAAAGAAATAGATAATAGGAAATATCACCGATCTATTTTCATTGTTAAAGTCCTCAACAACACAAACAAAAATAAAATAAAAAATTATAACGTAAAAATTTCTGTTCGTTCTAATACCATGTTATATGATCATTTAGCAGTTACCATTGCAACTCGAACCATTTAAGCATTGCTAGATGATATAAATGGCCGATTCACCTAAAAGCCTAAGCTGATACCATGTTAGATGATATAAATAATTGTCTCACCTAAAAATTTAAGCTGTTAAATAGGCGTCATAAATTATTTATCTACAAACGGGAATCCACCAATAAGCATTAAATAGCATAATGACATGTGCATAGTTAAGACAATATACCCAGAGTCGAAGAGGTCATAGATGCAAGGATGCCGAGTACAAAAGAAAACGGAAGCGATATGGCTATTGCACGGCTACGCATCTTTCCGACCTGAGAGTAAACTACGAAACACATGCAGCAAAATCGTGTAGTAGGAGCTAATGCTACTTGAATTTATTCAACTAATCTTACCAGAAGCTGCTCAAGAAAACAGAAGTAGGCCAGCATATTGACGATGACAAGAATCGGCAGTTCCTGCCAAACCCTGCTGCGTGAAAACAGAGTTAATGTGAGTGTTATATATCCCGAATGCATATTTGCGCAAGTGTAAAGTTTTTCTTGCCTGTAACCATCGATGTCGATATGTCCAAGATTACTGATGCCCGTGGTACGATTTATTGAGCTCTGGATACGTAGAAGCGTGACAGGTAGATTCCGGACTTCTTGCTTGCAAACATCGCACGTCTTGTTGCCTTTGATGGAGAACCATTTAACGGCGCATTCGTGGTGAGCCAAAGCAAGTTCACCTTTGCAGCTGCACTCCATCTTGAGGGTTTCTCCGCCTTCGCATAGCTCAACCAAGCAAATTCGACAAACCGCTTCCTCCTCGGGAATATCTTCGCCGCTGCTGGCTTCATTACCTTCTGTTGTAGCCTTTGATGCTTCACCAATGTCGTGTTTAACTTTAGGAGTGGTCGGAATAACACGAAAGAATGAATCTGTTCTTCGAATGGCTTTTTCTTTGTTGAAAACTGGGACGGAAAGTGATCGGGACATACGTGGAACTCCTTTTGCCTACAAGAACATACACATCGAAACAGAACTGTTAGCGAGATCGATACTGCTCCATCGCATTTGCATTTGAAATGGTTGTTCAATGATTTTTGATTTACTTCAAGTGCAGGAAGATTGTTTGTGCTTCCACCAGAAGCAGAGTCTGGATTTGAATTTCCAACTGCAGTTACCGGTAAGGATGTTGTCCTCTTCATCCTAGGTGTGAAAATCTTCGAGAATGACCATGACCGCGGAATTGTTGGCTTATCATGTGAAACAGTAGTGGAAGAAGATGAATCACAATTAGTGGCCTTTTCGGCATTGTCCAAATTCGACCGGTTCTTGAACTTCAGCTTTGGCAGGATGTTCTTCATGGATGATGATGATCTTCCTCTTCCTGAAAAAGGCCCCGGAGATCCATTACGTCGCGAATCACAAGGACTCGGAGTTACAGAGAAGCTAACTCTTTTCGGCGTCGGAGTTGGCATTGGAGGCATCTTTATCTGAACAATTTCTTGAGGCGAAGCATCCAACGTTCGTGTAGGTATCTCCAAGAACAGATTTGATTTTCTCCAGCTTTTGTTGCTCGAAGTTTCTTCGGCCATCTCTGACAACTTGTGCAGCGGAAAGATAGAAATCGAAATGTATTATAACATGTTCCAAAACATCAATCTGTCTCATAAATCATAACATAAAGCTTCCAATTCATCACTGATCATAATTTTGTGGAAGAAACTCATAAGCCTCTTTTGAATTCAAAACTCTACTCGGCTTTTGAAAGAACAGAGAACTTAGACACTTACACGACCAAATGATGAATGATGATGAAGATAACATATTAATTTGAACTTGCACCATAGTTTTGATCTGATTCTCTAACAATAAAGTGAGATGAGATGCTCCTATCCCCACATAGAAAAAGAAAAAGATGAAATCAAAGCAGATTGAGGTCCCTCAGCATAAAAGCCAGAGAACTTAGAGAAGAGGGGAATCAACTTTTAGCGTGAACATCCCAGCCGAAAAAAGAAGGGTAAAAATGCTCAGACCCTATTCGTCATTCAAACAGTAATAATTTGCATACAGAAAGCCATTAATGAAACTAAAACCAAACCAGCAGGCAGCAAGCGCACACAAACCCTAATTTATTTAATCGACGGAATAGGATCACAGTTTCTCGTGGAAACAAGTATGGATTGGGAATAGGATTTAAGAAGTAACTCCTCAACTGCGTTCGGAATTTAACAAACAGTTTCTCAAACAAAACAGAACAGAGCAATCGAAGAAGAATTCGAATTCGTCGATATTGTTCTACGTGTTTCCTAATAAGGAGGTGAAAACTTACTTTGTGAATTGGAGTAGTTGCAGCTACAGCACAAGAAGATGTGCTCCTTGAGTTGGTACACAGAGCAGAGCACCACCGTGGAAAGAGAATGGAGGAAGAAGGAAGTGGCGGAAGAAGAAGTGGGAGAGAGCAGAAGTGGCATCAAATAGCAATGCCATGCACTACCCAGACACAGACACAGACAGTGGAGAAAGCTCGAGCTGCAGCCCGGCCCGGCCTGTCAGAAATGCTACATACCATATGATATCATAGTATCATACCATACCGCTTTCCCACGTGTTTTTTATTATTTTAATTTTGTATTTATTGACAAAAAAAAAAAAAAAAAACCATTTTCATTATATATATATATTTAATAAATTGGAGTTTGTTTTATTACTCTCATCCCATTTATATTTTTCTATTTTCGTCTATCCAATATAATATGTTCTTTCATTTTTTGAAAATATAATATATACTTTAATTATATTTTCAATTTTATATTTTATAATTTTTTTAATTTAAATTAAAATAATTAGTTATCTTAATTTTAATCTATAATTATTTTTACTATATAATAATTATTTTACTAATACACTTTTTAATTACTTACTAATTATACTTTACCCAAATTTCCGTGTCTACAGTAACACCTTCAAATTACCTAAGACGGAGGGAGTAATATTTATATTTCGAAGATTTTTTTATTTTTTTATGAAATTTCTTTTTACCAATATTGGCCTAATTTTTGAATCATTGTTAGTAATTATTGGCTTGTTAGATATTTTAATACCGGTATTTATTTCAGTCTAATAATAGACAATCAATTTAAATAGGGTATTCACAACCAAAATTTGAGTATCTGACAAGTGGAATGAATAATTCATTTTTATTGACAAGAAAATCAAATTTAAATTAATTAATAATAGTTGTTTTGAATTGAATTTTGCTAAATATTGAAATGCAGGTACGCACTAAGGTTGTCTTTGTTTATGAGTTTGGATTATGAATTGAGATTTGAATAGTAAAAATTTTAAATTTGAATAGTTGTATGATGTGATATAAATAGGTGTTGATGTAATGTTTTGGATGTAGAATTGATATTTAGTATAATATAAAAAATAAAAATTAATATTTAATTTAATATTTTTTTTAGAAAATAAAATAAAATGAATAGTAAATTTAAAATTCAATGCCAAACAAACACCCTTAATTCTACAAATTTACCTAAGTTAAGAATAGCAATGAAGTGGGTTCTAGAAACCCCGAAACCTACCTCACTATGAAATGTTAGGCTCCAAAATCCCTATTTGTGGTCAATCAACAAACTCATTTTTTTTTAATAAAATATAAAATAATATATATTTCCTCCGGCCGTGAAAATTAGTTATATACACGGCGAGAGGGAGTATATTTTTAACAATATAAACCTAAAAAAATGACAGGACAGTAGTGGCCAGCAGCAGTGGCAGTCTGTCTGTGGTCGGGACGGCACGGTGGAGGCGGTGGTGTTAGAACTTGTCAGGAATTTAACCCTAAACTCAGAATCTATCGTGTTATCATAATTGAGATAAAAATAAAGCAAAATAAATCTGACCTTGATCCATTAGCATAGTCGAATTCGGATCTGCCAACAATGGAGGGTTTTGTGTTCTTCAAGCCTATGACGCAACCCCTCCCGAGAAAACCGCTAGGGTTTCTGCCGTTACTCCCACGATGAGATATGGAACGTAATGGATGTCGCGTCTAGACCTGGGATCACAACTCTATTTATATCCCTTATTATTAATTGACCTCATCACCCAGTTAATAATTTACCGGGTTTCTGCACATTGGAGGCCCGCACTTACTAAATATATTTAAGCCCAATAAATTTATAGATCACTTAATATAGGCTTAATCTGACTGATAGCCCAAATAGTTACATTTAACCCACAATTGGATTTTTAATCCAACAATCTCCCACTTGGGTAAATGTACACTGAATAACCTTATGAGCTCATGAATGTTTTGCTATCATATCCTTAATGTATATTAACAACCTTATCTATAAGTCACGTCAATGCGGATCAAAGCGGTCGTCACTGCATTTATCGCAATGGGACCGATCAGTGGTCACAACACTAATATAACCTAATATTCGATCAAGTACGGGTGCACAGCATGAAAATTTCATGTAATGTGATCTTAACATGCCTATTTCCAACTGATCCACCTTAACTTTAATTCAGAATAACTGAATACTGAATTAAAACTGAATACTGCACACTGAATATTGAACATTGAATACTGAATTGTGCAGTGTAAACTAAAGTAACTTTAATAGTATTTGAACACTACTAATTAGCTCCCACTAAACCGAAGTACCTTATATGGTTCCACTCTCATACGAGCAATATGCTCATTATAGAACTTATGTGGAAACCCTTTAGTAATAAAGCGGATCCACAATCATGAAAGCTGTGCGAAAATGTTCAATAACTAAATCATAATATGAAGTAAACTATTAAGCAAATGATGTACTAGTTCCAACCAATTTTGAATTTTGGAAGAGACAAAACTCTATATCCGAATGAACATTAATAACTGAATTTGTTCAAAATAGAGATGGAAATTAAATTTTGATTGAACATGGTACCATAAAAAAAATGTCTTATCCAAATTCAAATAGTAACGTGTACTCAATAATAATCTATAATTGTCAATGACTTCAACTTGAACTTTCTTGTCGTCACCCATATAGATGTATCTCTTAACACCAATTGATTTCGACAATAGAAATAATCTTGCATAGACACACTGATGTGAGTTGTTACACCAAAATTCACCCCAGGTGTGTCTATGAACTTAAATTAACTTAATTTCAAGAGCAAGACCAATAGAACAAACATGTCCTCCGAAATATCTAACTTAAGTGCCCTCAATTTAGTAGCAATAGTAGACATATTCATGATGTACTCCCTTATGTTATGTTTGTCGATATACTTTATGGTAATGAGACTATTAAGAAGAGCACGCATTTCTGCCTTATCGCTTTTGGTAAAGCGTTTCTTAATTTCGACAAGGAATCCATATCATCATATATTGTACTCCTAAAATTTATGGAGTGCTTTTCTTAATGATAATTAGACTTAGGCGTTGGACCTATCCCACTTCTCAAACAACTGTCCTTCATGAGCAGTGTTTTTCGCCGTATGAGTGAGTTGGTCTATTATTAATGCCAAGTCATGATTCATGCAACCAAGTGAATCATAATGAAGCTCAATAATAATGCATTCTCATCCCAAGACACTAAGTGCAACATCAATGATCAATCTTTGGATCAATAACATTGATTGCTAGCAGTCATCTTGTTGCAATAATCATATACGGATAATAAGGTAATATCAAACAGCAACCAATCTTTGGACTGATTTACTATTCACATAAGTTAAATCCATATAATCATCTCATACATATTATCGCAGATGTATATTTCATTCTGTCAATTACCGACTGCCTTTGGGCCGAAGAATAATCACATGAATTAAAATACACATAAACACTTACGTTATCAAGAAAAGATCACATATAAGAGAGGTTACTTTGGCAATGTCAAATACTTGATCTTCACTGTCAAAACGCAGCATGCATTATTAATGAATTTATAATTTTCTTAAATTAAATTATAATCAGAATCACGTTCAATGTATATGAGTCTGATTCCATAAAAAAATAAGAATGCTTAAAAGCAACTGAATGCACATGTCTATAAGCTACTAAATGTTTCGTATGTGAATTTATAAAATAAAGTAGCAATTATATTTCAAGTTATCAAGCAACATCAACAAATGTCGTTGGACAAATTACTGACTCACTAGTGATAAACTTGTTTTAACAATCGAATGGTGACAATACAGTAGTGTGTTAAACAACACCCTATCTTTGGACAGATCTATTATCCACACACAAACAATCAAAATTATCATCACCACATTCAATGTCACTAAACATGTATGTAACTACTTAATGGCTGAGTTGCCTTTGGGTCAATCAGGAGCCTTATAAGTCACAAACACAACTTTCTAATACACAAAATAAACTGATTTACACAACAGAGGCTGCTTTAGCAACATAACTGTTTCAACCAATTCCTGATATATATTATATTATTTATTGCTAATTAAATTCACCTTAAATGAATTATGTATGTTCAATATATATGAAAGCTATAACAACAACAATTAATTGATGGACTTATTAAAATAATCAAGTAGTCCAAGAAAGACTAAATGCAGCGGAATTATATAGGCAAAATATGCCACCCAAAGAGACTATAAATTAATACACCAAATAATTATAGTCGAATTTAAACAAATGCATACTGCAAAGAACACATGCTATTGTATACCAAATTTAATTGGATCTTAAACAAATCAGAAGAAATCTGTAATTCTGACTTGTTCCATAAATTCAACAATAAAATAAATAAATCAATATGGTTTGCACTCATGGAAATAATCTCTGAATTTCCAATAAAAGTAATTAGCCACACCAGCAATAGACATTGCAAATTTTAGTAGAGAATGTCGATTTGATGTAATGCATAAATATCAATACTTTTCATACTTGTATATTTCCATATCATCGAACCAATCTATTATATTTCAATTAATTGCACACTCAAGAAAAACATCAATCCAGATTCTAGAAAATTAATTCTAAATGAATGAGCCAAAATATTACTGCATCTGATTCTATAAAATAGGGAACTGTAATCATAATCGTTCATGCATACAAATAATTTCCAACAGATGCATAAAGTGTATATAGAGTTGCAGACTGATCCATTGAATTAGAAGCAAAATAAATAAATATACACTCCTTAAGGTATTGAATTTAATTATAGATACATTAATGCATATGTATGTCAATTCATGTATGCTAGCTTATTCTACAATTAAATAATCAAATGATCTAATCAAGATTTTAAACATTAAACAATGTAAACTTTATACGCACGGTCTATTTGACCAACCATTTCTTGGATAACAAAATCCAATACCAAATCACACATATACAAATTGGACTTTAACATACCTTATTCCAATTAAAACTTTAATGATGATTTGATCAAATAATGTGTGTATGATTAAACTGATTCCGTTATACACCAATCAATGATTAAACTAAATAATTAATTAATCAATAGATACTAAAATCAGTGCAAGCATCACACAGCGAGTGGAAGCAGATGATTTGTCTTAATTAATCTCCATTAAATAACTATGTTTAATTAAATAATTAGATGATCTAATTAGGATACCCAAATATCCGCATAAAGCAATGCGTTGTCATTAATATTTTCACTATGAAATTTGACAAGTCGCATGTGGTCATTGGATATATATATATTTATATGCAACATCCTGTATATTTCAATAACCAACTCTCAAATTGAAAACAGACAGGGAAATCGATGCATGACCAAATTTTGCATGCATATTTAAATTAATCGGACATAACAATACGGAGGATTAAGTTCGCATAGGGTTAGATCTGATTCCAAATGATTTATCTAATATAATATCTCAATAACTTAACACAGAAAGACTCTGATACCAATTGTTAGAACTTGTTAGGAATTTAACCCTAAACCCAGGATCTACCGTGCTATCATAATTGAGATAAAAATAAAGCAAAATAAATCTGACCTTATTCCATTAGCATAGTCGAATTCGGATCTGCCAACAATTGAGGGTTTTGTGTTCTTCAAACCTATGGCGCAATCCCTCTCGAGAAAACCGCTAGGGTTTCTGCCGTTACTCCCACAATGAGATATGGAACGTAATGGATGTCGCGTCTAGACCTGGGATCACAACCCTATTTATATCCCTTATTATTAATTGACCTCATCACCTAATTAATAATTTACCGGGTTTCTGCACCTTGGAGGCCCGCACTTACTAAATATATTTAAACCCAATAAATTTATAGATCACTTAATATAGGCTTAATCTGACCTGATAGCCCAAATAGTTACATTTAACCCACAATTGGATTTTTAATCCAACAAGTGGCTCTCGGCGCCATCAACAATGGTGAAGCAACGATGAGTGAAAAAATAAAAAATAAAAAAAAGAAAGAGAGAGAATGATATATTATGATTTACAGACTTAAAAATTAGAATTTCAATCTTAAAATTTAAAATTTTAAAATAAATTAATAATATAGAGTGTGTTCATTTTTTTTTAAAATTAAATATAAAATATTGTGTCAATAATATAAAAAATAATATTTTGTATTAAATTATTAATTTTTTATTGAATAAAATATATATGTTACGTCTGTCCACGGAAGGCCTCATTTATTATTTTAAACATTAATTATTATATAAAAATATAGTGCAAATTAATCCAAAAAAAATTATAAAAATATTTTTATTAGTATCTTATAATACTAATTTAATGACATATATATATATGTTAAATACAGCGAGACAAAAGGTAAATATAACTCTTCTGAAAAACTAACAGATGAAATATTATATATATATTGTGTGAATGTGTATATATTGTTTTTAATAATATTTATTAGAAATTATATCAAAAAAAATTATTAGATATATACCGTGACAAGTTTTATTATATAAATATAAATATTATTAAAGCATGTGGGGTTAAGTTTGAGTCTGGAATGGAATGTGATGGATTTTTAGTAGAACTCGTGACTTATGTCATGTTTAATTTAAAATTTAAAATTTATAATCAACTTCTATACACATTTTATAGATCCGAACCCACTTCACAAGAACCTAAGCGTCTGTTTCTCCCGGGTTTGGGGAAAACACTGTGCAATACTTTCTACCGTGTTTTCTCCCAAATCAAGCTGGTCCCCAAGCAGAAATTTAAATATATATATTTGGTATAATATAAATTCATAATAAAATTATACAATATAAATTTTATCAATTAAATTTAATACATATTTATATTATTTTATTTATTATTCTTCAAATCAATATATATCAAAACTCCAAAAAACTCCAATCAAATCTAATCACAGAAAAAACAACATAACTCAAACTCATCACAAAATTCAAATAAAAATCAAACTTAAACTCAAATTCCCCAAAACCCCTCTAAAGAAACACGTCTCAATTGTCATCTCTTTATTAACTGAATTGAAAATAGTTAATTATGGTACATTAATTACCTATACTACTATCAATTTGTAGAATATTATAATTAATTTATTGATATTTAAATAAATTATTTTTTAATTTAATTTAATTTTTTTTTAACCATCTATTTCAAACAACATTTTTAACTATAGATAGTATAAAAATTATCATTTCCTTGTAATCCAATTTAATTTTTTCTATTGTACTTCAAAAAAAAAATTTGTTTGTGTGGGGCAGTTTGAAGGATACGATAACAAATAGTTCCTCATTAATTAGCGACGGATTTTCTCTACACATTACTATTTTTATTTTTATTATTTTTGTAGGAGGGAATTTGCGACGATTTGTAATGCCTCCCAGCCAAAATTAAAAACGAAACCGCGAACAGTCGACTTCATACCGATTTTGCTCTCAGCGGCGATTTCGAGGTATTGGAGGCGGCAACAGTGGTTCCGTCGAGCGCGGTGGTTCCATTCATTTTCACCGATTGGATTTTGCTAGGGTAAGTTCATCGCCGGCGGCGTATTGGATGTTTTCGTTGTTTTAGTTATGGTTGTTGTCGCTGAATGTTATCTAGCATTTTCGATGTTTGTGGTTGTGGTGCTAAAATCCTTTCCTTGTATCTCCGGCGTATTTCATTGTTGTTTGGTGGAGAAAAGTTTTTATTAAAGATAAAAACTACAAAATATGTAATCGTGATTTCTAGTCCTAAGGCTGATTCTATGTGTTGTTCTTTCATTGTATTATGGACAAGAGGGAGGTTCTCAACCAGTTTATTGCATTGCAATTTTTCATTGATTTGTCCATTTATGTGTCCTTGAACATTCTGGAGAAAGGCAGGAAAAAAACAAAAGAATGGTTTCACTTGCCCAACATTGTTTAATTTTCAGTTAGCTTAGAGGTTCCTCGAAATATATTCTTTTTTATTTCGCAATTATTTCATGCACTGAGGATGATATTAGTTTTTTTTTTTTTAGAATATTTGTGAAATTTGGGAGTTCATATCCCTATTCTATTGTAAGCAAATGAACTACAGTATTCATAAGGTACTGAATAATTACATTATCTTGAGTATAGCCAAATTACCTATCCTTCATGTCTTAGGGCATAGTGAATATGCATTGATTGAATATAAGCAGAGTTTGTGTTTTCGAATAGATTTTGGTGTGAACATGGTATATATGTATATATATATATATCTATAGTCTACTTTCCTGGGGATTTCATTCTATATAATTTCCTACCTATGAAATTCTTGAGTTTTTTAAGATAATCTAGAATATCAACATACATAGTTTGCTTGGTCTTTAATTTAGAACATAATGGTTTTCTTTAGAATGTATTTGATTTGACTCTAAGATGGATTTTATTTATAAGGAGTAATCTTGTTTTAGAGTTTTATACTCATTTTGTTTGCTTCATTTAAAATCTTATCTTAGGTGCACCTAGTTTAGTTTATAGTACATGTTTTTATGAATTTGTAGTATGTGTTGTGTGGATTACAATGTGCTGTCAGTGTCGACTTTGTTAATCTTTCTATTTTTTGCTGTATTTATAATTTATATTTAGTATATTTTATTCCCTTAAAACACAAATAAGGGCATTTGTAGATACTAACTGAATGGTGTGACTGCTGATGCAAATGTCTCAGGATTGTGATTTTTAGGAGACAGAGGCGCGTCTCTACAATGGCTAGATCAAAGAGAGAGGGCTGTAAGGTTGTACCATCCCATCCGACCAAAGATTCGGGTACTTCAAACAAACCTTAAAAAAAATTACATAGATATATGCATCGTGATATAACTTCTCTCGTGCATGTGCATTATACTTTAGATTCACTAAGGGTGTGTTTGTTTGGGGGTTTGGATTTTGAGTTGGGATTTAAATAGTAAAAATTTTGAATTTGAATAGTTGTATGATGTGATATAAATAAATGTTGATGTGATATAAATAAATGTTGATGTGATGTTTTAAATGTAAAATTAATTTTTAGTATAATATAAAAAATGAAAAATAGATGTTTGATTTGATATTTTTGGGGGAAAATTTTTGGATGAATAGAAAGATTTTGTTAAAATCCTTCAACCGAACAAACCCTAAGTTCACAGTCGCCGGCAGCTGATGCCGGGACCACAAATACAGAAGCTCATTGTAAGTATCAAATATAATCAATGACTCAGATTGGTATTAATTCAATGATGAAGTATATGTTCTACTTTATTTATAGCACCGTCTACTGTTGTGGGACAATCGTCCATCAGGATCCTGAAAGAAGGGAGGTTTGGCTTGTATTCTAAATTCTTTGCATAAATTCTATTTTTTTTTCAAAAAATATTTATTAAAAGTAAAGTCGTTCTAATCCTTGCAATATTTCAGCATTTTGTGGCCCCGAGATGCCTCCAGTAAACTCGGCAGAGTCTTTCGCTCCAATGTTCACCCGGATGGGATCACATGGAAGAAGGTTCCGGAAGCCACCAAGGAGTGCTACTGGCAGGAGTTAAAGGTTAGTAGGCATACTTTTTAAAAATATTAATAGGTTAGTTTATTAACGTATATACATCTGATATTGCAATGTAGAAGTACATCACTTGGGACCCTTCGGTAGAAGGGAAAGTGAGGCATCAATTCCATTTGAAGGTGCAGGAAGCCTACAATAGATGGTTGTACGATATTAGAGGGGGCCGAGTTAAGAAGGGGGAGGATCAGATCAATAAGACGGTCCTAGCTGAGTGGCGGAGATTTTGGGCTTCTGATGACGCAAAGAGAAAGTCCGAAATAGCCAAAAAGAATAGGCGTCGAGGGGATCCAACTGCACCTGCTGAGTCTACGCATACCGGCGGATCCCGATCATTCTTGGAGACATCGGAAAAGCTAGTAAGTAATCACTTACTCTTTTTTTTTTTTTTTTATAATTAACATACGATCAAATTTAATTAATGATTTTATTTGTCTTTCTATGAAGGGTTTAAATAAGGTTGAAAAATATATATGGGCTCACACTAAAGACCATAATATGGAAAACTACATCAACCCGCGAGCGACCCAAGTTGCTGTAAGTCATTTTCAAATAGCAAGACTAAAGCATGATATGATGCTTATAATCGATCTTCCAATAAATTAATCATTTCAGGAGGATTTGAATGCCATAGAAGAAGAGCTGACTCAGCAACGCGCCACCGGATATGATCGGGATGAGGTGTTTCTTACGCTAGTACCCCGTGATAAGAAGAATCGTATTTTTGGATTAGGGTCATTAGTTGGGACAGTTCCTCCTCAACGATCATCTATCAATAGCGATGATCATGCCGTGGATTTATCTAAAGTTGATGAGTGATTGAAGAAGTTGGAGAACGACGTCGAAAGGGTCCATGGTCGCCTGGATGATATGGACCAGCGTATGATCGATTTGGATTTCCGACAGCAGTCCATCATGGACCAGAACTTGACGATCCTGCAAGAGCTCCGGCAAATTCGAAGAGGCGATATTCAGAAATGTGACTCTGATGATTCTGATGGTGGCGGTGGTTCGGTATTGTGATTTATCGCTACTTTTTTTATGATATTACTTGATAACTTTTGCATATATATTATAGATTGATGGGCGTATTTTATGCATTAGGATGATAATTTGGTGCGAATGAGTTGAAAGTTAAAGCATGCATTTTGTTTTTGTTACATATCATCAATGGTTTTGTTTTTTAGTTTCAATTTTATAGTTGCTTTCGTTTAGTTTGTGTTAGTTGGATGATTTACTAATGGATATTAAAATAGATTGTGGTTTGAAATTGATTTGAAACGAATTTGAGTTATTGTTTAAATAATATTTAATGTAATATTTTGTGAAAAAAATAGTATATTTATATTGAAAATTGTACCGAGTGAATAATGTTGGTTTCAATTTGAAATCGGAGTAAATTTTTAGTTTTGGAAAATTTTAATTGCAAATTTCCCCACTAATTAGGGGTGGAAAAATATGATTATCGGAAAAAATATCAAAATTACTAAAATTTTGGCATAAAAAGAAATTGATATCCTATATCGTAGACGCGGAGGATTTAGAAATGGTATAATAAGTAAATAATTATCCTATAATAAAATAATTTTGAATTAAAATTAAGATAATTAATTATTTTAATTAAAATTTAAAAAAATTATAAATTAATTTTTTTTAAATAATATTAAAATATATAACTCTTTTTTAAAAAAGAAAAGTCACAAAATTTGCCGACATACGGAAATAAAAAAGGATACACAGTAAGTAGGACAACGAGAGTATTTTGATATTTAAATATTCGATGTATTTGTATATACCAATAATTCAATATATTAATACCGAAACTATTGTTTAATTTGCTATTTGGTATGAAACCAAATTTGTAGGTTTAGTTAGTACAATATTTATTATTATTATTGTTATTATTATTATTGTAAGACAAGCTAGTTAAAGCAAAATTTTAGGTTTTCATAGAGTACAGGTTTAGAGTAAGACAATGAAATCATTTTGAAAGAGAGACTTGGAAAACTCACTCTAGACAAAGTTTTCGGTTCACAATAAAAATACATTATCTTACTTAAAAAAAAAATATTATATCAAAATACTATTTAATTAAAATTTAAACTCAAACAAGTTTTTCAAATATTATACAACCACACATTAAATATGTTTGCTAAACCTTCATAGAAATTATTCCATAAGTTCGTTTTACAATATGTGGAATTTACTTTTTAATACATTAAACTCCTCCTCACAATAGTTTCTTACATACTAAATAAATAATACAATTAAAACTCTTTATTTAGTTATGAAAAAATAATAATAAAAGAAATATATTGCCATTAACTATTATCCTAACAACCCAAGTTATATGGTACACAACCATATCTCATTCTCCGTTTATATAATTAAAAAAACATCACATCAAATACATACATATTCTCATTCAAAATATAACATAATCATCCATAACTTTTTATTATTTTCAAAATATTCTAAAACTTCATAAATCTCTGTCTAGAGTAGAATTCACATAATGAGAGACACATTCGTCCAACTCTAAGTCACTCCACCATCCTTCATATTCACTTGCACCAAAACTACACCTACACCTCTCTTTAGGTATGTTTCTAATTTTGTTCCGGGGCGTGCACTATCCTACAATTTTTTATTTTTTTTCTATACAACATCGTATCCAAAACCTATTTTTCATTTAAAATACTATACTATATCAAAAACCGATTTTTTATTTGAAATAGTTCATCCAACACTTGCACATCTCAGCGAATATTAACTTTATACTATCCACAGAACCAACACAAAAAACTTACCAAAACATATCTAAATACACTAGGTATTTAAACAAGCATGCTACCCAAGAATATTTGCAAAAAGAAAATCAAGAGGGCGGACGAGGAAATTTCACTTTTTACACCCAAGAATTCGAGCATCTAGCCTAGTCTAAGAGATGGCGCCGATATTCAGTAAATACCACAAAAGACCAGCACCAAAAATCGTAATCCTAATTATTCATATCCATTTTTCACTTCACAAAACATCACAACACAAATACATAATACATACATACATAGAAACACAGCTTATGTTTTCCCGGCATTTTGCAAAGGTATGAAATTGAATCCAGCAGCCCTAAACATCCCATAAGCAAAACAAACAAGATGCAAGACTGATACACGATAGAAAAAGAAACGCTTTATGCCAACATTTCGAGAAAAAAGAAAAAAACAAACAAACAGATGATCCCAAGTTTCCAGCAATTATCAATTTGGTTAAATAAAAAGAGCAGAAACAAAATAACAACGGCAGAGAATTCACCTGTTCGTAACAGCTTTGATTTTCTTCAACAATCCATAATAGCACAATTGTAGACAAAGACGCCGGCATGTTCCTTCAATCCAAGAACTTCCCAGTTCAAAGTCCCGTCCCTAACCCCTGATTTCGGGTTCCAGGTGTTCAACACGATGGCTTCACCTTCGGGCCCTCTTTGACCGCCCACAACCAGAAGTGATTTCAAGCACGATTTGAAAGCAAGACCCCAACCATTGGACAGATCAGCCCTAACCGGGAGCCGTCCCAATTCAACCCACGAATTGTCCTCCTTGTTATACTTCTTCACCATGTTAGTTGAATATCCAACAGCATAAAGTTCATTGTCCACGACTGCCACGAGCGGAGGCGCCTGTGCGGCTAGGTTGACATTGGGATACATGCCCTCGATCTTCCTCCACTTTCTTGTCTTGAGATCGAACTCCTCCCCGCACGTCAATGATTCATTCGGACTGCTCATCCCTCCAATCACATAAAATTTCTCATCCATGAAAAACCCCGAGCACAATCTTCGCGGGGTGTGCATGCTGGGAATTGTTTCCCACTTCCCTGTCCAAGAATCGTAGAGCTCTGCAGATTTCAACACGTTCCCGTTCTTGTCGCTGCCCCCGGCAACAATGGCAACCGGACCAAGACTGCCCGATGCAAAAAGACAACGGGGACAGTTCATTCCCTCGCACTTAACCCAATCACGAGAAGCCATGCTGTACTTCCAAATAGCAAATTCAAATAATTCGCGCCCGAAAACCAGTAATTCGCTCCCTACGGCCAACGACTCCTTGTCCGCGCAGTTGAAACAGTCGTCACAAGGAATCTTGGGCAGTTTCATCCACTTCTTCTTAAGAGGATCGAACGCCTCCCATCCTCTCGGATCACAAACCATGAAAACCCACTGCTCCACAATCCCCATCTGCCTTCTCAGCTCCTTCAAATATCCGCTCTTGATCAGCATATGGAACCTTGTGTTCAAGCACGACAAAGAAGCATAATCCGATTTCGATGCACGAGCTAGGCATGTCAACGCAATGTCGTCAAGCAAACCAGGGATATAAGAATCGCTTGAAACAAGTATCCGGCGATCGCCATTAGCTTCCCCTCTAGATGTCATCTGAACTTGGGAATCCATCCTATGCCCGATAATCGAATACAACATAAACTTCTCCAATTCAGGGCTTTTAAAAACCATGATATGATATCACTTTCAATTATATATACAAACAAACACCAAAGAGCTTACCAATCAATTGAATCCCTAATTCAGAATAACACAACATATCTCAAAAATCAATTTCTCCTCTTCTTCTACATCAACTATGTTCATCAATTCCACCAATCCACACCACAATCACCCGACTCTAATCGACGATTTTTCACTATTTCTAACAGACCAGATTATATTTCCCCAACGCAATCAAATCAACCTTTATTGAAGCTTCCGATTGCACCAACTACACCAAAATTAATCTCACCGCAGGAAAAAAAAGCAGAAATCGATTCCACCAAGGATTCAATCTACCCACCGATATCAGGAAAACCTCATTAACCGCATCAAACTGATTTTTTTTTTTCAGACTTGGTCAGGAAACCGAAAGAAATATTCAATACAGTACATAAAATCACTTATCTTATCGGCGGAAGAACACGAACCGCTACGACGGTAGATTCACCGATTCCGATCCAAACCAAAGATTCGGATGCTCATCGATTATCTAGAGATAAAACCGCGTCGTGTCATCCCGTCAATCATCAAAGTCGTGATAAATCCCTAGCCTTGCCCAGGAAAGAACCGATACGCATACACATATTTGTGTGTGGATAGCTTCGAATCGTGAATCAATTACCCTGTGCGAAAGATTCAGAGCCAGCGAGCATCGCCGCCAGAGACAGGTGGAGAGAGAGAGAGAGAGAGAAAGAGAGAGAGAGAACAGGAGTTCTACAAATAGAAGATTATTTGCAAATTTGGCACTCTAACTGTAACTATTTCCGCAGTTGCCCCTGTACTTTCCTCGGAGCATACTTATTGGATTTTGTTATTTCTATTAAATAATACTACTACTATAGTTTTTATTCTTTATCAGCAGTACACATTTGAATATAAGTTCTCATAAATATGTTTATTTTTTATTTATGTATTTGTGCATCAGAATATTTTTTATATTTAAACAATAATTGCACAGTTTTTTTTTAAAAAAATAAAATAATACTCTCTTGTTCCATAAGAATGATACCTTTTTTAATTTTTATTTGTCCAAATACTATTTTCCTAATTTAGTATTATAATAAATACCCAATTTACAATATATTACACAAATATTATTACTTTTATAACATATCATACTATTAGGAACATTTTCGTCTTTTTACTACAAACTAATATAATATTAATATTAAAAATATACGTGAAAAAAACAAACAGTGCACTTCTTGCATTAGGTGGAGAGAAATATATTTTGACTAAAAATTTGCGGAGATATAATATAAATTTTTTGTTTGAAATCTTAGCCAAACACAAATATTTGAAGTATTAAAATAATAATAGAATAAGATAAATATTGTATGAATATTATTATATCGTCACACAATCGTAGCGTTTCATCTTAAATGTATAAAGAAAGGAAGAGCTGTTTTTCGTTTTAATTTTTTATTATTCCATTTATTTTTTATTTTTTCTCTAAAAATGAATATATAAAATTTTTATTTGTTATTAAATTATCATATACAACTATTATTAAAAATTTTAAATATATATATCTAAACAATGAAGGAACAAATCGAAATTGATCATTTGATAATTAGAAAGCTACAAGTAAAAATTAAATATATATATATAGCAATATTAACTGAGTTTTTTTTTTAATTAATTTTATAAATTTAAGAATTTATAAAAGTATCCCTTAGCATGTTTATATAAATATATGTTGTCATTATTTTTTTTTAAGTATAATATATTAATACAAATGCATAAAATACATTATATAAACTTGCATAATTCACTCATAATACCAAATAGTGTAGATCTATGTAGTATGTCTATTTGTTTATATTTAAAATTTTGAACTAAATAATTTAATTATTAAATCATAATCATTTTGTATAGAAAATTACATCATCATAATACTAATAAGCAAAGCCCAATCTTTCAAATCAAATAGTTGTATTTTGTTTATATTTCAGAGCAAAAATTACTATTAAGTTCTTATTTTTTAATAAAAATAAATTATATTTTTACATAATATTATCAAAATAGCATTCAAAATTACAAACTCAAACTAATATATATATATATATATATATCAATTATGCTACCTATAAACATTACACAAACTACAAGCATACTCTAGCCTCTTCTTTTAATATGTGATCCATTCAATTTCCAAAAATAACTTAAATTTGTTCAATTTTTTTTTTATTATTATTGTTTAACTCTTTAATTGTTTTGTAAAAATATATTATATTCTCCCATAAAACAATAAATTCAAATTATTATTTAAAAAAAAAAAAAAACTATAAATACACCCTTATTCAGTAATTATCATCCAAATCCAAATTCCATCTCCCTACCAAATCAAACTTTGTTCTTCCACAATTTCCAAATATAAATTTTTCAAAAAAATCAATATATTATATGGACATATTATTTTTAAATTACTTACACAATACTTTATACTTCACATAATAAAAAATAAATAAATAAATCATATCTTCAAACAATTTTACTGAACAAACACACTGAAACCTTTTAGTTAAAATTGGAATCTCTCATTTGCAGTAAAAGTTTAAATACCAAACTATGCTGTGGCTAAAGAAGAAGAATAATATTAAAAATAAAATAACCACACCCCCCAAAGGATAGGACAAAGCATGTGTATATATGTATTAATATATGATAGTAAACATCACAGTAGGAGAAGAATCACAAAGTATTAACCTCAATCGGGTGCAAATTATATAAGTAGAGCAAGAAAGAGATATTCAAGCATCAGAGCACAAAAGTAGAGCTGCAAGAAACCTCATTGGAAACTTACTTTCTTCGACGCCCCGTCAAGTCGAGCAATACTTATTTGTCTGTGCAGTGCAGTGTCTTCACTGCAGCAGCAGCAGCGCACTTCGCTTGCACCAGCACGAGTACTGGAGAATCGGCCCTTCTTCTTCGACCACCCAAGAATGGTGTGCAATGTCCTCCAGACTCATTCTTTGCTTCGGATCTGCACGTGAAAAAAGTTCACATGGTTTGGTTGTAACTTTTTGAGAAAACAGTAAAAAACTGAACAGCTGACGAACCTTTGCATAGAAGGCCCTCGAGCAAGTCCTTCAAGAGGGGGTTTATGTCACCGGGAAGTAACAACGGGTTATTAACTATCTGAGAGGCAAAAAATAATTTATATTGAACCATTAGATGACACAATCAAACTCCAACCAGATATATAGAAGAAGTTTTATGTATGTATGTGTGTGCGTTGTATTCATGTACCTTTTCATAGGTATCCTGAAGGGTTTCTCCAATAAATGGGTAATTACCAAAAACCATATAGTACAAGGTGACGCCAAGGGCCCAAGTGTCCGCAGCTTTCCCGCGATAGGTTAGACCTGAATTTGACAATGGAATACCAATAGTTGGAAGATAATAGACACTTGCTTATTAGCCAAGAATTGAGGGATGAGAGAAGATACCTAAGCAGCACTCTGGTGCAGTAAACACGGGAGTTCCAGGAGAGCGACGAAGCTCGTCATTGTCATCCTACAAACAGATAAGATGAGAATTTTTTATACGCTTGTGCAGTGAAGAATATGAGAGTAGCGTAAGAATAAATAAAAAAATAAAAACTTCAATGGATGATGCTGTGAGTAGTCGATCCAAAACCAGAACTAAGAGTTAAGATACAATGCGAATAGTGGCTAAACTATATACATTTTCAATGCAACAGAAAACTAACAAGAAAGCTAATAAGGATTCAAAACATAATCCATCCGTCTACTCAAAAAGAGACAAATAGAGAGAAAAATCTAGTGCCTAAATCTCACACGCAAAGAAATAATATTGTATTTGAGATGGTGCAAACTTTTGTATATAATATGGAGAGCTTGCTTATTTTAAATAAAAAATAGTTGCTTAGAATCCATAATGTTTTAAGAAAAAAAAAATACCAATTCCTCAAGTTCCGGAAACAACAAAATCTTGCAGCTACTACTCAAAATAACACTCAATAACATATAGTTTTCGAAGCATTTAAACATGGTACATTTTCTTTTGACCTGGATGGCAAAAGAGAAAGGCTACACATTACAAAATAAGCCTTGATACAGAAGGTTTCTTAAATTAATCATAAAGTGACTATAAAAATAAATGGCATAGTATTTTCTGTATCTACAAAAAGTAACGTAAAATGTTTCGCCTGTTTGGGTATGTAATTTTCTATGACACAAACTCCCATGAAGACATATGATTAGTTCTTTCAAAAATTACAAGAGAATAAAATAAAAAGTGAGGAAAATGTGATTCAAAAGTTTATCAAGGGCAAACAAGAATCCATCAAGATTGTGTAAGCACTCGATCTTGCAAGGCACTATTATGGGCCGAATCACAGAAAGATCAAATCAGACACAGACACAAACTAGTATATCACAGGTTGCTTATTTAAATGCAAATATTCATTTCCTGCCAGCTGATTTCCCCTCACCAGATTCTCAAAAAATTCAATCACCCGAACTTTGTCAAGGTTCTCCTAAAAAATGTTACAGCACAGGCCACACGCATATGGTATGCTTATATAAGTAACATGTTTGACAGGAAATATCACTCACCTCAAAAACTTGGCTGACACTAAAGTCACCAATCTTGACCGTGCCTGAAGCAGTAACCAACAAATTATCGGGTTTTATATCTCCATGCACTATATGCTGTCAATTGCAGGAAATAGCAAGAGTAAGTTGTCTGGGTATGCAGGAGTGCTAGCAACCCCGGACTGAGCATGCAGCCAAAAAACGTAAAGCACAAGAAAACCAACACAGAAGCCCATATCAAGAATGATTTAGCTCAAAGTGCTGGAATATTGTATAATGAACACAAAATTGAAAAGAATAAACATTGGTGCAAGATGAAATATGATGAAGGAGAATATATGACACACGCTATCAAATTAGTGGAATGGTTGTAAAAGATTAAACTGCTAAACAAAATTATAGAAGAAGCTTGGCCAATACATGATCATGAAGATACATTAAACCAGAAACTACGTCATGTAAGTACTTCCGGATAGTGGTTTCTCCTAGACCACCTGGCGGCTCAGTGCTCTGATAGGCCCATTTCCCCTCCACATATTCCATAACTGAATCAAAGTAGTTTTGGGATAAAATAAACAGATATATTTGGGAGAAGGGAAAAATAATCGGAGAAGAATATAATACCCATATACAAGTGATCTGTTGTTGGGTCATCAATAACCTCGACAAGGTTGACAATATTTGGATGACTCAATACTCTCATGATTAAAATCTGGAAAGACAATAATGAATTTAGTAGGCAATCATTCAAGATAATACCCATGTTGAACTACGAACCACAAAATGAATTGCACAAAATATAAATTCAAAATGAAAGATAAGAACCGGCAGGATCACAAACAGAAAATAATTTCTGTGGAATAAAAAAAACCAGACATTCAAACATATATGTCGAAAAGTGATATTGTTAAAACAAGTGAATGAAAAAAAAACCAGAAGGCGTTAACCGTGCAATGAGATAAATCATTAGTTTAGAGCAACAACGTTTTTGAAAGGTCCCAAGGATGAAAACCACTTAATAGATGATGATATTGTAGAAGAAAGCATCAAATACCTCGCGAATAACATCGGTCATTGCTGTTTCTGAAGGAGCAACCCGGAGCTTCAATAGGTGTGATTTGTGAAAGGCCTATGTCCAGAATTGAGAACAGATGGTTACTACTGCACAATATATGCCAAGCCTTTTTATTCACTCCAGGTTTCAATAATATTTTCGTTTTCCAATTTTTAATTAGTTGGAACAAGTTGTATTCTATAGCCCAGCAGGGACACAAACTCCAATATCCACCAATACACTTAGATCCATGTATTATAACATGAAATCAGGATTCCAAAGTACAGACATGTCAATAACCTGCAAGTGAACTGCATGCCTGCTTTCGCTTACAATCATAAATAATTGAGGACAGAAGTCCTAAAACAGATGCCAGCCAGCAGGGCCATTACTGAGTTTTGATGGGCCCCGGGAAAAAAATAAGAAAAGGCCTTATTTATTTTTTTATATAAATAATATAAAAATTAAAAATAATCATTTTCTTTTATGTATTTTATTTTATTTTTTAATGTTTGGGTTTGTTTGGTTTTGCTTTCGAACCACTTCTTTTACTGATCAACCCGCAAAGGTCCTAATAAAAATACACTATTTTCTTTTACAAAACATCACATAAAAATACGACTTAAACCAAAACTCAAACTTAAGTGCAAACTAAACAAACTTTAACATATATATTTTAATACCATACATATGTTTATAATATTTGTTTTATATTTATATAATTGTTATTATTTTTGGTAAAAAGGGGCCACCAGACGGCCCCCAAAATTTTGGGCCCCGGCCCTGCCTGCCAATATAACTCTAAACACAGGAATAATATTGTATCATTGTAGGCCAAGCCTGAAAATCACAGAAGTGCATACAGCAAAACTTAGCTATCATTACAGAAGATGTTACCTTGATTGCATATTGTTTTCCATCTATTTGGCTTCGATAGAGAGCCTACAAAATTGCAATGTACAAAATATCATGTTATATTAGAAAGCAGCTAACCCAGAAAGTAAAATATTTTCAAATATCTGCTCACCACTTTTCCATAGCTACCAGCACCAATCTTGCACTCACGAACATATTCATTGACAGTCTTTTTCCCATTTTCATCCTGCAGTACACAATATTCATTAGCAGTATACATTGAATGAAAAGATAGAATGCCATGCAGTTCCTTGCATTCAAGGAGAGATCCCTTTCTTAACAGTCCCATCACATGGCCAAAAACTGTGGTTTTTTCCAACATAAAATAAATGCTTAAGGTTTAGCTAGGTGAATACAACCATAATATTTTTACCCTAGCAAGCATCTTAAATAAAGATGTTCTAAATTCACATAGTAAGTATAAATAATATCCATCAAAGATATCAGACTATTGAGTTTAAGAAGGTCACGTAGTCAAGCGAAAAAATACAGCTTAGTATAACCTGTGTCAAACGACAACTTTATGAGAGAGAGAGAGAGAACAAGCAGCCTAAACTCATAAAACAATAAAGACCACTCCTTAACCATTGGAAAAAGACTACAAGTACCTTTGGTTTCATAGAAGATATATAATATATGTATCTTTTCACTTCTATCATTACAAAACTAGTAATTTATATTGTTAAGCTGACTAGCTTAGTAAATGGCACCAAAAGTTATTTTCACTCTAATTGACTTAACCCCAACACAGAACTTATAAGAGCCTTTTCTACTGATACAATGAAAAATCAAATAGCAGTGGTTCCCAACTTACCTCTGAGCGAATGAGAGTGTGGGTTTCTTTAACAGGAAGCTCCCTGCATATCAAACCATTTTGTATTCTATACATGAGAAGCTCCTCAGCTCGCTTTGTTGGGCTTTGATACTCAAAATGATCCACATTCCCAGTTTCGATCATACTATCGTCAAAAAAATTATCATCCTGATCATCATCTTCGATATCATCATCCTCCAATAAGGAATCCCGACAAGTGGTGTTGTTCATAAGCCCTCTTGACCCATTTACCTTTTTGGCATTTCTAATAAATGAGAAGCCAAAACACCCACAGCAGGCCATCTCCGTCACCTTCTCAATCGAACTCCTCTTATCAAACATCAGAAATACTGAAACTCTCTAACCAGCAATTCAAAGTGTAAAAGAAATAACAAACTCTGTACCACCTGAAACTTGAGAAATAACAAACAAAATCAAATAGTACGAAAAAATTTCGATGGAGTGTTGTACAGAAATAATTACAACTATGTCATTTGGAAGCTGAAATCACCCCAAACATTAGAATTTCTTGAAATGTTTTTTACATCTAGTCACCATACTACAATGCATTTCTTTTATTAACATTTTTTGTGATTCTTTAAGAATTTCCGAAAACCTTTCTCACCTTGTGTAATGGAATTTCTGAGGTGGGCTGCGGTGGCCCCAGCAGCTACGCTACTCCAGAGGATGCCATTCAGCAAAATGAAGCAAACAATTGATGAAGATGATCCAGCTGCGATTCAAAGCCGGCATAGTTGAACCTCAAGCCCAATTAACGCTTCAAATATACAATCTCCGGAAGAGAGAAATCAGTAAAGGCTAGGCCCTCGATTTCTCGCCCTGAACCCTGGCAATCCAGATATCCTCCGACCTTTCACCCTTTCACCTATTGCATCAACATAGAAACAGTCAAAATTACAATTACAATTTCTTAATACCCTCATGCGGGCAGATCAATGGCAATTTCGGGCAAATTTCAGAAAAAGAAAAGCACTTCGAATCCAGACTATTCAAAAATCGATATCTCCACAGAAAAAAATTAAAGCATAAAAACTCGGAAACAAGGGTCCAATGCAACTGACCGGAAATAAAACGTTAACATACGACCAATCAACATGAATAAGATTCCACACATTAAAAAGAAAGAACGAAGTTTCTTACCAAGCCTGTAGGAAATCCATCCCACCAGATTGCAGGAATAAATAAGTAACCTCGCACCAGAGATCAAGGGACGACGTGCTTCCAATTCGCCCAACCAGAAGGTCGAGGAGTAGATTCGCAAACCGGTGATTCAAACAAAAAAAACCAAAAATTAATCAAAGGAGGATGAAATTCGTTGTGGTTACAGCCACACCGCGAAAATTACAGAAGATACGGAGAGAGAAGGAGACGGAGGGAGAAAAGTTTGGAAGAAATTTGACGCTTTCGCGGATTTTGGATTCTACGGCATGGGGACGGGATGGGCAGGGTATGTTTGATGGTGTTGACCAGAAGGGCAATTATGTAAATTCGTCTGTAAAGCTGTATTTCTGATTTTGTCCCCTTCTGCTGTCGCCTGTCGTCGTGTCCACGAAGCTCAATTAGTACCGCCGGCCGTTCTCATTGTGACGGCAAAATCAACGCTACATTTTCTATTTTTATTTATTTTTTTATTTGTTTTCGTTGTAAACTTATTTTTAATCAAATTTATTTTTATTTAAGTTAATTACTTTCTATTTTTTTTAGCACAATTTTTTATAAATATAAAATATTAACATAATATATAGTATGGGTGTGTTTGTTCGGAGAATTTAATTAGATTTCTACTGTTCATCCAATTTTTTTTTCCCAAAAACATTAAATCAAACACCTATTTTTCATTTTTTATATTATACTAAAAATATATTTTACATTCAAAACATCATATCAACACTTATTTATATCACATCATACAATTATTCAAATTCAAAATTTTTACTATTCAAATCTCAACTCAAAATCCAAACCCCCAAACAAACACACCCATATGTATTTCTTTTGTTTTAATTAAAAGTATATTTTTTATTTTTTTCTATTATATTTAGAAGTAGTTATTTTTTATTGTAATAAAAGTAATATTTCATCTGTCCCGGTGCAAGGTTATCATCGTTTACGTTTTGAATATTAGTATTATAATGAGTTGTAGTGAAAAAGACGAAAATACTGTTATTAGTATTGTACAATATAAAAAGAGTGGTATTTGTGTAATACAGTGTAAGTTTGAAATGTATTTATTATGTTCAAATGTAGTACAATTACTAAATTATGAAATGGTACATTTGTTTTGGGACAAACGAAAATGGAAAATAACAACATTTCAATGGAAGAGATGAAGTAGTATATTAATACTAAAATACTTTTTAGTTTTTATATAAATTACAAATATATTATTATAATACAAAAGGTATGTTCCTTTTGATGGTTTTAGAAAAATTTTGGTTTCGATTTGGTATTAAAATAATGTATGATGGAATATAGAAAAAAAAATGTACTCCCTTCGTCATGCAAGAAGAGCATTGTTTGCTTTTTGCACGTAAATTTATTAATATTAGTATTATATTAGTTTGTAGTAGAAAAAACAAAACTGCCCCTATTAGTACGGTGTGTTATAAAAATAATGATATATGTATAATATATTGCAAGTTGTAAGGGTATTTATTATATTAGATAGGTAGTACATGTACTAAATTAGAAAATGATACCCTTATTTTGGGACGGACAAAATAGTATCTTCCTTGTGGGACAGAAGGAGTTTTTTTTTTTTTTCAAAAAATCCAAAATCCAAATAGTAAAAACTTGAAATTTTGTGGCAAAAGAAACAAAACCTTAATTTATATATAAAATACAAAAGATAAATATATTGAAATTATCTTAGCTTACGTACTTCCACTTATTAATATTGATTGCCGACAATGAACATATAAAGGTATATTAAACAATACATGATAGCAGCTTTAAACAACATATTGTGAGAACTATTGTTGTATGTTGTCAATTGATATATTATATTTATTTTGGAATATCGAACTATATCATACTATGTTGTTAGTATATATTATACTTCTTCCATTATGTAAATGTGTGTTCATTTGATCGGCTACGAATTTTAATAAAAGTGAGTAATAATTATTGTTTTTTCCTTTTATAGTAAAAAAAAGTACAAAAATATAATAACTTTTTACTTAAAAAGGAAACGAGAATATTTTTCAATGACAAAAAAAAATGAGTATAGATTTAAATGACGGAGGAAGTATATGCTATTAGTATTGTTGATATATTATCAAAGACTTGTTTGTTGACTTTTAAATTACTCTGTATTATCATAGTTAGGTCAAAAACTAAGGCATAAAGTTTAAATCAATACAACAAATGGAAAATAATTTGGATTTGTTTAGTTTGTGTTTAAATTTAAATTTTAGTTTAAATAATATTTTGATATAATATCCATTATAAAAATATAATAAATTAGAAATTATACAAAAATAAATAGTAAAAAAAAAATGAATTGCAAAAGGTTTAATGAACATAGTTAAATAGAACCAATTGCATGTTTAAAAAAGATAAAGCTAATCCCAAAAACATTATTAGCAAAATTAATTTTGGTTTACATATGTTTTAAGGAGTATTATTTATCATAAGTTTTCTTTTTAAAAGATATCATATTTAGTATTTTTATTAAAATAATAAAAAATATATATATTTTTATATAAATTGACGCATTCAATACATATTTATACCATACTATATATATGTCTAGCAGTAAGTACTATATTTATTTTTTATGTGTTGATATTTAAATATTAATTATTATATTAAAATACAGTATAAATTAAGAAAAAATAACAAAAATATTTTTATTAGTGTCTTATGATACTAATATAACGATATTTGTATAAAAAATTATAGAAATATAAGAATATTATTAATTTTAAATATAATGACGCAAAAGATAAATATAATATTTAAAACTAACGGATGAAGTATTATTTTTACATAATATTTCAACACTATATTTTCTTTAAAAATTATTTTTTTCGCAAAATATAAAATTAAATATTATTAAAATAAAAAAATGTTAAACTTTCATATCTTATCTAGACACAAAACTTGAATGAAAATCTTATGTTTTGACTTTTGGCCAATCTAAAACCCACAAAGACATTTCCTCTATAAAAGGCCATTTGGCTCTTATACTAAGGTCCAATAAATATTTATTTTATTTTAATATATATATATATACACTAAATTAAATATACATATAATTAAGGAACAAACGATCTTATAGTAAGTAATCATAGTTGACTCTTTGTACTAAAGATTAATACTATCTCTCAACATTCGATATATGCTTTTTTTTTTTTTTTTTTTTTTTTTTTTATCAGTGCATTTTTTTTTTCCCTAAATCAGTACATTAATCTCTAATAATTTTTCTTAGACGATATTATTTAAGTCTCTATAAAGTACTTTTCAACAATTCAAATAGTTCGATTAAGAATTCAAATAGCATGCACTATATTTAAAACATGTGTTTTTTTAGATTTCTTTGGTGTTTCTTTCGGATTTTGAATTGATGTTTTATGAGTTCTTTAATTGATATTATTTGAAAAATTAAAAACACATTATAAAATATATTATTCACTCCGTTCCATAACAAAGTATTTATTTTTTATTTTTTAATAACTGTACTATCTACCTAACATTACAAATACCCTTACAACTTACAATATATTACAGCAATGTCATTACCTTTATATCACACATACTAATAATGTTATTTTAGTCATTTCTACTCTATTCTTACTATATCCCAATATAATACTAATATTTCTAAAACCACGTGCAAAAAGCAAATGAATACTTAATTTCGGGACAGAGAAAATATATTTCTTTAATTGGTTTTATATGATCTTTATGGATTGATTAGTACTTTATACAAAACATTATGTATAATTATATAGAACATTAGACATACTTCTATAGAGTCTCATAGAACACAGTAAATACTCTATAAAGTACTAAAAATATTCATATAGACCACTAGATATATTTATCTAGAATATTAGTTTAAAAAATTAAATAAATAACACATATTTTTATTGACGTAATATAGTACTATCTACCCAAAAATTAATCATTTCTGAACATTCAATAGGTATTGATTTTTTTAAAGAAATCAAATATGATGCTAATTTTTGAGAAACCGTATGTATGTATATATATATATATATATATATGTATGCATTAAACCAATAAATAGTTGAATTAAAAATGTGTACGTGAATGGATTTGGGAATATTATTGAGATTGGTATAAAAATTTTACCAACAAATGCAATATTCATTATAAAAATTAATTGAAAAGTGAAAAAAAAAATATATATATATATATATATATATGATAATGAATAAAATGGTAGATGACGGTGAGAAAAAAAAAAATTTATTGAAAACTACAAAAAAAATAAGTAGTGAAATTCTTTATATGAAATTATATAAATATAACTATGATATTTTGTTATCCCGGTAAAATACTTTAGCACACCGAATGGTGCTATTTCATTACTCCCTCTGTCCTGACTATGGGGTCCACGTTACACAAAAATCTATTTAATATCCGATCAATAATCGAGTTGGCACATTAGATGTTTTGTTAATTAAATAACTTAAAGTTATTATTATCAATACGTCAAATTCAAATGATTGTAAATTTTTGAATTCATATTTGAGTTTTATGAAATTTATTTTATTGAATAAATTTTTAAGTTAACAGGGTGAGTCAATCCGAGTTCAAATAAAAGAGTTATAGCCAAAATAATAGTTAGAGGTCTGTTGTATATTTCAATGCGTTTTTTACAAAACGTCAATACGACTTTAACTCAAGTTTTAAATATAAAATCTCACATTTTAATTTATATTTAACTTTCATTTCACTCCTCACAAACACTCTTAGGAAACCCCAGCTTTCACCCCTTCTCCCACTCAAGTTTGAGGTTATTTTGAAGTAAATCTTGGTATCTTTTTCTTCTTACTCTTGAAATTCGATTTCATAATATGTGTACATTATTTTAAGCTATAGAATTACTATTTTAAACCATGATCATATTTTTAATGATTTTATATTCATTTTGACATATTATATGAGTTATTTAAAAGACAAATGAATTTTATATGATTTTTTAAAGTTATACACTCATTTTCTTGATGAAAAATATTACAGAGTATTCGAGGGATTTTTTGTACCTTTTGAATGCTATTTTCATACTTTTCTTTCATGTTAAATGCATATGTTTGGGTTACCAATTTTGTTCCATTTGGATATAAAATAAATTTTATATAAATTTTTTAAGTTACACACCATATTTTTCAGTATGTTTAAATTTTACTATGTACTTTCTGGAGCTTCTTTTTGTATTTTTTTTAATTGAAATGTAGATATATATGTTATCATTAATTAGATACCAAATTTGTCCTGAATGTAAAATGGAGTTTTAGTGATTTTTATAATATAATTGTTCTGTTTTTCCAAAGTGAACGAATTATTTGAGTTAAGATGATATTTTAAATGTAATTCAAATTAATAATTGCATTTTTGGTCCTCGAAATATAATTTAGCAATGTTACCTTTGATTTGGCACTAGTTTCATAATATTTGAGCCAACAATAAATTTATGATGGTATTTTATAAGATCTGCCCAAAATATGAGTAAATTAATTTATCGAATTTGATAATCAGATAGAGTGCGTTCCACGATATCTACTTTCATTCAAGTAAAAGATTCTCTATTGTTTGTGTTTGTGCTAATCTAACGGGGTGGGATCACCGGTCCCTTTCTTCCCCGCCTCCTGTATATATACACGCATGTATGTATTTATATATCATATATATATATATATACATACACTGTATATATACTGTATGTATTAAAGGAGGGTGGGGGCTAGGTAGGGAGGGAGGGAGGCCGGTGATTACGTGCCCGTGCTAACATGTAATATGTGCTAAAAACAATAAAACTTCTGTTACATAATTATTTATATTATATTAATATAATATATTGATTCTACATATAATTTATAGGTAAAGTTAACTGCCCTTACCATATGCACAGGAAGCTTCAACAGCTAAGCTTTTCGTCGTCCCTTTGCAAGGTTCGCCAAACAAATCCGTCGAAACTGAGACATTGCACCTGCTCAATCCTACACAAGCCTGAAATGAAAAAACAATACATACACACATACATACACAAATATACAGCATGAGCAAAACATCAAAACAACTCTATACATACAGGTTGTAGAGTAAAAAAATTCGAGAAGAACGATCGACCTTCTGCACGACGGCGAGATCGTCGCCGCTGCCGCCACATCGACCTTGGTGAAAATCTCCGCACGATCCCCGCGGGGTTCCGAAGCTGGCGAATTTGATTTCGGATATAACCTGATTCGGAGACGGGCAGCTGAGCAACAGAGTAGGCCCCGAACCCGACGACATCTCCACGGGACTCGGGTGAGTCTCCGAGATACGAGAGCACACACTCTGCGCGACTTTCGTCGCAAACGATATCTGCATCGGGTCGCCTCCGGTTTCCTCGAACAGCACTATTACGTTGTCGGTTGGCTGCAGCCACGCGCGAGGGACGTGATAGCTACAAGGCGCGGGCAATGATGATCAAAAGGTTCGACGACGAAAAACTAGTTTTTTTTTTCTGTAAGAATTTTTTTGCTTACTATTTCTGAGTTGGCTCGCCACATCCCTTCGTGCATTTGCTCGCGCTAAAAGGTCCTCTGTAATTGCACGAGTCTGTGCAGCCGTTGTTTGGGGATGTGTACGTTGGCCAGTAGCGCCCAATGCTTTCCCCGTTTATCCACGCCTGACCCTTCCCCATTCCGGTGAAGTCTATCGCGACTGGACTGGTTCCAGACGGGGCATCGAACGTTGTCTAGATCACGGAAAGACGAGATATGAGCATTGATTTCGAGCATAAGGTAGAGAAAAAGATTTGCAGATCTTACCTTGTACCACACTAATGGTCGATTCTTAGGCAACGTAGGATGTGACGCCCAAAGAGAGGAACCTCCATCGAACAAGCGAAGCTCTTCGCCTCTCAAGCCAATCTGATGTTACATATACAGAGTAAAAATCAAAAGACGAGCATTTTCATTTCATTGTATGTGTAAATATAAACGACGAGTTCTTTATCTGTTGATGAAAAATCGAAAATGGTGACCTGATATGTCCACTGCTGCGAGGAGAGATCGATCGTTGATCTGTTTTCCAAGCCTTTTAAGAGCACGGGACCGGTAACTCCTGCACCTTGTAAGTCATAGTATGCGCCGTAATTCTGTTCGGCAGAGACGCGATGTTAGAGAGGTGATTACGGGAAGTGTAATTGTTAGAGAGATTCAGGGAGAACTACCTGTAGCCCGACTGTCAAACTCAAAAGATCGATCTTGTTTTTACCAGGTAAGACGCTGAAAGGAACATCCATCGATACATTCGGATTGCTGTGGCTTCCTTTCCCAGCAGCTGTTAGATCATCAACAAGCAGAAGATAAAAATCGGGACATCATGGTTTTTTTTTTCTTGTCTTTCGATTTCGTTACCTGCAAGTTCACCATTGATGAAAGCATAAAGAACATGGCCAAGGGAATCGACGTGGAGTACAATGTTTTTGTCGTCTTCTTTCAATTCGATGCTGAAACAACGAACGAGCATCAAAATTGAGCTGCAACAATTGATCATCACAGGTAGCAATGAAAGCAAGTTTTGTTTTTTGGTCATACCTCAGAGAATACCACAGATAATCACTCTGATCGGCAGTCGTGTTTATTTGTTCAAGCAACTCGCGTTTCGCGAATGCGCCGTTGCTGGATATGCCGATAGGTTCATAAATCCAACTCCACCCCGAGATGAATGCATCAGCAGCAGCAGCAGCAGCAGCAGCAGAATCATCTCTCGACAACTGACGAACAAATTTCGAAACGGTCGCGACAGAGTTAATCTGCGATTTAGATCAAAAGAACTCAGTCTCATCAACATCATAAAGATCGAAACTCATTGCTATAAACACAACACATTATGAAGCTACAAATTTTTTAGCAGCATTATACGGTTATGCTGGTAACAAGCAACACAAGATAGCAAGCAATCGATAGACAGATAGATAGATATATATACTTTCGCCGTGTTGTGCGCTACGGTCTTGCAGTCCGGCAGAATGCTGACAGACCAAGCGGGCAAGTGATATGAATTACCGTTGAAGTTTACAGTTGCATCAGACTCTGCATCCACATTGGCAAGAAAGGCAGCACATTTTCCAGATTCTGTTTTATAAACAGTAGCCTGTAACAAAATCAAACAAATGAATAAGAAAATTCTCGCGAATCGAATGAAGCAGAAGAGAGAATGTTCGAACCTCCAAATTCGATCCGAGAGAAGTAGTTTTTGGATCCGTCGCTACTAAAGCATCTTCACATCGCTTTATAGCCGCGTGCACATCTTTCAAGTGCCCCCATTTTGGCTGCCTCAGAAGGCCTAAAACATCGCAAAAAGAATCGAATTTACTAGCTCAAAAACATTGCTTTCTAGTAATTGCAGAAAAGACAACTAGCATACCATACTCGTCTATTGGCGCATCGTAATCATAGCTCGTTGTAATAAACGGTCCTCCAGCAGTTCGACCGAAGTTTGTCCCACCATGATACTGTAAAAAGACATGAACAAAGAGATCGTTTGTGTTTCTAGCAGAGCAGAGCATCTACCGTAACAATCTGAAAAGTACCATGTAATAGTTTAGGAATGTTCCACCGAGCTGGTAAAACCGTGCAGTCGAGAAAGCAACATCTTCAGCAGGTCTGTAGGTCACAGGATCGCCGAAAGAAGAGAACCTGAATTTAACCAAACGCCAATGTCAAAAGGACCTGATGCACTTGAAACAAGATGACAATTCTAGGTAATAAAAAGCTCAACTCTAACCATTACCATCCACTCCAATTCTCTGTCCACATTTTCGGCTTCTTATCAGAATTTGGGGTGAATTGGTCGCAATAAAACCCATTGCAAGTATTTATCTACTTTCACAAAGCCAACAGTATCATTCAAACTGCGAAAATCAGTTTAAAAATCCAAAAAAGATCGATATTCAAGAGCAGAGGTTACTATTGGATCAGGGGCATCGTCTTGCTGGCACATTATCCACGGCACTCCTGTGTCCAGCGACGTAGCCATCAATGCCGCCCAGTTTATGTAAGCTTTCGCGCCTTTACCATATGCAGAGTCAATATTTCCATATTCATTTTCCACCTGCAACGAACGATTTCTTACTTCCCTCAACCTTTACTAAGCTTAAAAACGATATTCAGCTCTTAGAAATTGTACCTGTGACAGAATTATAGGTCCTCCTTGGGATGCATATAGATTTTCTTGCTTCATCATCTCCACAATCTTGGCCGTAAATCGTTTCATTTCAACCTAGAACAGCAACTACAGATGTATCATCAAATGCTTCGACAAAATTGTGAGATAAAGGAGTCGAATATCAACCTTGAAAGGCTTGTTATCAGTTCGAAGCACGATTCCGGGTATAAAATGCAACCAGAGAGGAAATCCACTGTTTGAAATTTGAGATGAACACATGAACATATCTCTAACCTCATTTGTTCTACGGAAAACATACAGAGTTATCGAATGTATATATATGTACCCGTAATTCCACTCGGCGCAAGCGTAAGGACCGATTCGAAGATGAACTAGAAGGCCAGCCTCCCAAGCTACCTTCACAAATTTCACCAAATCTTTTCTTCCTTCAAAGTCATACTGCAAAAGATCTCTACACCTTTTTCAGCTCAACTACATGGATCCAAACTACTTCTTCTATCTACTGTATCTATTTCGTTAAACAATCGATTGAACTAACAAATTCCCCAACACATTTTGCATCCAAAAGGTCTTTGCAGTTCAAAAGAACAAGATGAACATCGAAGAATTGGTATCATTTACCTGGCCTCGAACTGGTTCGTGCAAATTCCAGAATACAAATGTCTGGATAACATCCAAGCCTCCGGCCTTCGATTTGCTAATCAAATCTGGCCACATCTGCGATTCGCATCGACATAACAACGGCAACAATCAATCGAAGCAACAATGAGAAAACTACGAGAGCAGAAACAGAAAATACCGACCTCCGGAGTGCTGCGCATATAGTGAATCGAGCCTGAAACGAGCAGTTTCCTCCTGCCATCGATAATCAGACCTCGATGATCGTACGTCACGTTAGCGCCGGAACAAAACCTCGCTGACAAGTCCAAAGCCAACGCCACCACCAAAATCGCCGCCGCCGCTGCTCCGCTCCTCATTGCAACGCCAGTTACAAACAAATCGCTCGCTATTCCACCATTATAGAAACAAATCGAGATTTTTAATAACTTCCTGATAATCAATCACCCAAGCTTAGCTAATAATTATGAAGGCTTTGGTGTATTTTGCGAAACGGACAAAAGGAAAGACGGACGGAAGGGGCGCTATCGTGCGCCGGGAAGTGCACGCCACCATTACCACTAGAGTCTGCCTGTCACGTTGCGCTTGTGATTTCTCTCTTCCTCTTCCTCTTCTTCTTCTTCTTCTTCCTGCTGTGAGCAGATGACTTGTGCGAGCTCCCGGGACTTCGACACCAGATGGTTGAAGTAACATGTAAAATTGATGATCGTGATGCACTGGATGTTGAAGGGCACGGGACCTCCCAAGAAATAATTCACCAATAATACACCATTATAGCTTTCAAGAGGCCTTACGTCAGCAAAGCTTAATAATCAAAATTCAAATTTGAAATATAATGGCTTTGTACACATTTTTAGATAAATACTAATGAAAAAAATATATTCCCTTACTCCCATTGTTAATTCGTCCATTTTATTTAAATTAAATTATTTAATCGTATTAATCTAAATTTATAATTATTTTTATTAATACACTTTTTATACAGTAACTAAAATTTTGTGCATAAGCTAAATGAGACAAATTAGCTTAGGACAAATTGAGTAATATATATTCACATGAGATAAATAATACTTCCTCCGTCCCACAACTATCCATTTACTTTTTGTATGTTAATTTTTTAATATTAATTATTATATCAAAATGCATTACAAATCAAAAAAAAATTGCAAAAATATTTCTATTGGTATCTTATAATACTAATATAATGACATTTGTATAAAAAATTATACAAATATAAGAATATTTTTAACGTTAAGTTCATTGACGCAAAAGGTAAATGAATACATTGTTATGGAACGGACATAGTATATATTTGTTCGCTCAGCATTTTTCAGTAAAACAACGCTCCATAAATATTATTAAAAAAATACAAATATACACACATTAGTATAATATATAATATCAATTCATAAGAAGTAAACCATTCAACACAGAATATTATTTTTATATTATCAACGCAATTCTTATATCATATATAAAAAATCATTCATCTAAAAAAAACGTTGAGTGAACCGACTAAATTTTATTTTATTTTTAAATATAATAATTTTGTGATGTAGGAAATTGATAATTTGGAAATAAATCTTTAGATAGTAGGAAACAAGTGTAGCTACATCAATTTTCTACATCACAAAATTAGTATAGATCGTCTCTTAGGTTATTAATAGATTTATTAAAAACAAGGTTTTAATTTGTCTTATAACTATTAAAATTAAGAAAATAAATTTAATTAAAATAATTAAATTCGCGGGGGATTGTTAATACAAGCTTTAAGGATTAAAATAAATATGTGAATTTTGATCATATACATTTTAAGTTCAATTTTATTTTTATTTTTTTCAGTAAAATAAATTAGTTATAGTTACCGTCATTTATTTTCTTATTTAATTGATACCCAAAATACTATCTTCGATGGTTTACATTATTGAGTAAAAATCTTAAGTAGTAGAGCAATAGAATTGTGGTGAAAAGTTATTATTCAATGTGCATGTCATTTTATAAAAAATAAAATATTACATATTAAACATAAAATAATTTATAAAAATTTAATATAAATTGATATACCAAACAAGTAGGTTTTTATTTTTAAATGATGTCAAAGCCAAGTTGTTACTTTTAACTGCAAATTGGATAAATCTCTGATAGAATATAATAGTCTCTAAACTAACTATGTGCAACAAACAAAACTAAATAATTATTTTTGTAGACTAATATTAAATAAATTATGTGTAACAAACAAAATCAAGAAATATCAAATATTTAACAGTTACAAATTTCGAATATAAACATGTTGTATGTGTCTAAGATAAAAATGGCATGCTAAAACGAACAAAAGAAAAGATACAAATATTGAGGATCTATATATTTGGATGTAACTTTCACTCTTTTAACTATACAATTCTCTTTATAAAAATATATTAGTTCATATTACAAAATATTATATTTAAATTATTATTCAAAATAAAACTCAAAAATAAACCTCTAAACAAACAAACCTTGTGAAATGTCTAATTCGTGGTTGGGAAGGTCAACACAAGTCATTTCAGCGCGTTTTGTCTTTACTCACGCATACCATGAGAGATTTTCAAGAGGTTACCCATCCTCAAATTACTAATTCGTGGTTAGAGACTTTCAAGAGGTTACCCATCCTCAAATTACTAATTCGTGGTTGGGAAGGTCAACACAAGTCATTTCAGCGTGTTGTCTTCACTCACGCGTACCATGAGAGACTTTCAAGAGGTTACCCATCCTTAAATTACTCTAGAGCAAGCACGTTTAATTTTAAAGCTCTTTCAGTATAGCTCTCAAAAATAAATTTGCACATTGTTGACATAAGTGATCTATTTAATTCATTTAATTACTATTCAATCTTCGGATGACTTAATACCAGCTTATCCATACACAAAAGTTGGTCAAACAACGGTCCAATTCCAAAGGTATCACACAACGTGCTAACAATGTTAGCTGCATACAAACTCCGAAATGCTTACTCTGATAGTTATATTACATAAGGAAACTTTAACCTCAACCTCAACCTCAACCTCAACCCGTGCTAATTAATTAACATCATCTCCAACCTCGCCGCTCTTTCCATGGCTATTCATCGAGGGCCTAATAAAATAACCCAAATTCTTCAACAATATTTGTTCGTCATATCATTTTATTGGATACGCACCTTTAACACTCGAATCTGTTTGTTTCTATTCTCTCTTACAACAATGACAAGTACGTAGGATCTACAATTCTTTAAACTTGATAAAAGTTGGATATGAAGTTCTCCGCTCACTTATACCTTCTACAAAAAAAAATTAAAAAATTAAAAAAATATTATATTATTGCCATTCTTGATCACATGATTTTTTTGGTTAGGGACTCATTATTTTAGATAGTTTAAATTAGTAAGTTATTAATAATAAGTTACGATATTATTTTATTATTTTGTTATATGAGTAGTGTTGTTGTTATTTTAAATATTTTTAGCATTATATCTCAATAAAATATATACAATACGAATATTATTTTATAGATAATAAAATTTTATATAATACAAATATATAAAAAAAATAAAATATTTATTAATTTATAATTAACTTTAATCTATTTTTAATAAAAAAAATGAGGAGTTTTAAATATAGATAAAAATATTTATTTATTGAAGAAATATATAGAAACAAAGGGTTTAAGTGGATCGTGTAATATGTTAGAAACTTAATTAAATTGATTTATTTTTATTAAGTATGTTTAATATGAATAAAATTGAAATGCATCATCTTTTATAAAACGGACAATTGGGCAAAAATCCCTCTGTCCATTTATCAATTGGGATTCAGTCCCTAATGATAAAAAATTTGTCTGCACTCCCCCCTTTTTCCTTCTTCCTTCTTCTTCCTCCCTACTCGTATTTTTCTTCATTCTGTTTCTCTTCGCGCAAAAAATTCTTCTCAAGCCGTTGTCCTCTTCCGTGAGCTCGAAAGCCACATCCCGCACAGGTAAGGTTCTTAATTGTTCGCCCGATTATACATCGCCGCTTCTTGTCTGGTTCGATTGAAAAATTTCCTAGGGCACTCTCTGAATCCTGTTCCGGTTCCCTGTCGTCGGCGGTCGGTTCATTCGGTCGAAGAACTACCGAAGGCTGTCACCAGTTCCCTAGCCCGTATTTCTTGTTCTCCGGTGAAATTAGATGTACCAGGTGTGTTTTTGTGTCGGTTGATTCGGTCGAAGAACTACCGAAGGCTGTCACCGGTTCCCTGACTCGTCTTTCTTGTTCTCCGGCGAAATTAGATGTACCAGGTGTATTTTTGTATCGATATCTTAGTAGGAAAATTATTATTTGGAAGAAAATGTTTGGGTATTATTTTGGGTGATTTTGATAATAAATTTTGTTGTTATTTAGGGTTTAAGGGTAATATTTATTTTGTGAAATGGGTAATTTGTTGCTATTGAGGATCAAGACATTACTAGAATTCCGTAAGAACATATGATTTTAGTGTATTTTGTGTAAGATTATCTAATCGCCCATACGACCTAATATAGTTCATACATTCATTGGTTGGATCGTTAGGTTCTGATGGACATGGAGCAAAGTAGTCTGAAATTATTAATTATATGTTCCTACGAAGGTGAGCATCATGTAATTCGTTTAGAAGAGGGCACCACGCTGGAGGATCTTTACCGAAATATATCGAAAAGATGGAATAAAGTGAGTATTGAGGCGGTAAAACTCCAATATATTGCACCTATTCAGAAAAGCTACGTGACGTTATTGTGTGACGATGATGTCGCCAATATGTGGAGAATGCATATCTTGTTAAAGGTAATGTTTGTGGATATGATTGCACGGTGTAGAAGCGAGCACCAGAGCGTGCCTCTCCGAAGCACGGTTGGACGCAGGTACGTTACTCATCGTTTGTAATTAAGTAGTCTTTATTAAACTTTGTTATAGAATGCAGTCTCAATTGTTCTTTATGAAAGAATGCAGTCTGTAAGCACTTATAATGCAGTATGTAAGAATGCAGTCTGTAAGCACTTATAATGTCATGTTCAACACATCTAAAAACATATTGTTTATAGGTTACGTTTATAATTCTTTCATGATATTGGCATACAACAATACCGTGGTATATTGTTGCGATGTTGTTTGTAGGTAGTAAGTATCCACCTCCGCGATTTTGTAGTAGCGCGGTGCAGAACGAACCACTGAAGAGATTGTAAAGATATGTAGTGGGGATATAACGTCTTGAAGGTATTTAACGATTTTCACTCCTTCTTTACATTGAATTTTCGAGTTTCGGATTTCGATTATTTCGGTTCGGTTCGAATTAATTTTTTCAAGATTTTTGGATGAAAATCCTAATAGTCACCCCTACTTGCAAGGCCTATTTATACTCCTTTGTAAATTCTTTTGAAAGTCCATTTATGACTTTTTCTTTTTTTTTTTTTAATTAAAACTATTATTATCTAATCAATGTAATTTTTAATAAAAATATATTATTATTATTATTATTATAATAAAATATTATTTAAACATAATTAAAATAAAAAATCCGATTCAAACTAAACAAATCTCTTAATTTGAGTGAGTGCATTATATTGTTTCTTGAAGTCTATGCTTAAAATGAAAGTTTTCATCTTGCCTGATTGAAAATTATGGCATTTGTGGCCGCTCTTGCATCATATTTCCTCTTTCCAGTTGTAGATATGACTTTTTTTTTTTTTTTTTTTAAATTTTTTTGTCCACTCTTTTTTATTTTAGATACATTTAATAAATATAAATTAATTTAATTAAATTTTTATCTTTTACATTGATACCTACTCAAAACTTCTTTATTTAATTTTATCTCTCTTAAATTAACAAATAGTATTTTTATATATTTTAACTTCCAATTTTTTTTTTATAAAAATTAATTTATGATAATGATAAATAAATAAAATGATAATAATATTATATATTATTAAGATATAATGTTAAATTTATTTGAATACATATTTTAATTTTTTTAATCATATATAATATACTTTTAATCTACACTGTCTAAATAACACCGAGGGAGTAGTTAATAATTATTTTAATCAAAATTCAAATTACTAAATTAATTAATTTTTATTTTCATAAAAAAATTTATGTCAAATATATTTCTATAAATTATAATTATTCTTTTTCACACTAAATTAGAATGTTAATACACATTCAAGCAAACATAAGTATAGTAAACTAATAAGTTTAATAAATTTCACATTTTTATTACAAATTATATGATATTAAAAAAATGGTAGATATAAGTTTGTTTGTCTTTTTTTTTAAAAAATATATATATATATATATATCAATATTATTAAGTTTGATGTTTTGATAAAATACACTTCTTTTGATTTTTGTAAAAACATTTATTTTCAATCTTACATCAGTTTCTATTCAAATCAAAACATAAGATCCAAATACAAATCCTAATTTTGTAGTACTCCCTCCGTCCCATCCTATTGATTACCATTTTTTATTTTCGTCCGTCCCAAAACAAGGTTACCATTTCATAATTTAGTAATTGTACTACCTACTTAACATAATAAATACCTTTTCAATTTACAATATATTACACAAATGTCATTACTTTTATATTACACCATCTACGTGCAAAAAGCAAACGTCACCCTTCCAACGGGCTACAATAATACCCACTTTAAAATAATATTATATCAAAAAAATATACATCTAAAAATTATTTTACATTCAATTATTATTTTCTGTTTTTCTTTTACTAAAGAATCACATAAAAAAGAATAATTTTAATTCAGATTACTCCCTCCGTCCCGGCTATTGTGTCCAGTTTACTGTAGATACTGAAATTTAGGAGGGATATAATTAGTAAATAATTAAGAATGTATTAGTAAAATAATTATTGTATAATAAAAATAATTTTAGATTAAGATTAAAATAATCAAATAATCTAATTAAAATTTTAAAAATTATATATTAAACAATTTAATATGTGATTGAAGTGTATAATTCTTTTCCAAAAATAAAAGTGACAAAATAAGTGGGACAAACAAAATGAAAAAGTAGAAACGGAAAGGAGTATTATTTAGAAAAATAAAAATAAAAAAGCAATTCGAGATACCATGATTTAAAATTAATTTCAAATAAACTATCAATTTAAAATTTTATTAATATAATATTTTATAAAAAATAATAATATATTTTTATCAAATCGTATATAAAGTGAATATCGTTACAAAAGAACAAATTGGGGTGAACAAAATATCCGAAATTCAAAAATCCGATCCAAACCAAACCGAAGTTTAAAATTTGGTTCGAATTTTCGGATTGAATTTTTGAAAAATTTCAAATTTTCAGATCGGATCGGTATACTTAAAATCCGAACCAATCCAAAATCTGAAATATAATATTTTAATATATTTTTTTATTATATGTATTTAATATTTAGAAAATATTATATTTTAATATAAAAAAACTGAAAATTATTAATTATATTTTAATATATTTACTTTTATATATTATATATATATTTAATATTATAAAATAATAATAAAATATAAAAGAAATTTACAAATTAAAAATATTTAGAATTTCAGATTTTTCGGTTTAATTCGAATTTTTTAGTTCGAATTTTGAATTTTCAGATTTCGATTTGGTTGGAATTGATTTTTTCAAAACTTTCGAATTTTCTGATAGATTCAGATTTGGAACAAATCCCATAAAACACCAATAAACATATACCCAATGATCATTCACAATTAAGATAAGGAACTTTCTGGAAGTAGTAATAGATGCTAAGCTATAAATACATCTTTCTCAATTTAATTTCACCAAACTTTCATTCTAATCATAACCACAAAAAAATAAATTAAAATGTAGCCTATCTCCACAAATTGATTTATTCTAGACATGTGTTTTAAACATACTTATATAAGAATTTAAAATAATTTCAACAAAATGTATTCATAGTTATTAAGACAAACTGACGGGCAAGCCAATCCACGTAACAAAATGACAAATAATTAATCTTAGGACATATAAACTTAACCAAAAGACAAGAGAACAATGTCGAAAACTAAGACGAAAAGCTCGAGTTCATACAGCAACATAAATATAAATATATATATATATATCACCGGATCAGCACGAAGATAGCTAAATAAGCGCAGAATCGAGTACTACCTCGACGTAACATAACAGAACAGACATGACATAAATAACGATCGAGCAACAACATGAAGAACAAATTCATCGAGCTAAATAACGGGAGCGAGCAAGCTTACTCGCGTCCTAAGCAAATATGCTCATAGGTCCAGCTTGGTTCGAGGAATCGAGACCCCGTTCCGCGGTTGGCAACCCGGTGATCAATTTCCTGAACAAGAAAAATGAAATTTAGGTGTCCTTCGATTTCACAAGAGTAAGTAACCGAAAAGGGAAATTTGACACCGAATATTTGCACAAACAAAGTTTGGCAAAACTAACAAATATTATGTGGTTGGAAAACGAATTAGGGATCGTTACCGATCTGCATTGCTGCTGCTTCCTCGAGTTAGAATGGTCAATCTTTTTGCGGATCTCACAAACTTGCTGAATTAGAGAAACCAAAATCGTGATTAATGTTAGGCTCAGGTGTAAAATATCGATTTGCGCTTGTTAAATTATAACCTGAAAGGCTCTTCGCCGGATTGTTTAACAGCGCCGGTAGCGTCATGGTAGAACAGCCGGCTCAGCATCTCGGATCGTTCTATCCCGAACATGTGTTCCAGCTTTTTGTACAGATCATCGTACGATGCGAGAAGGGACAAATCAAGGGTTCGCCCGACATCTTCCGACTCCAAGAACACTTTGCAATGGCCCGTGTCGGGGCCTAGTTCACCTCCTTGATGATGGCCCTGTTTCCACAAAAATTGGTCAGTGGATAGAGCATTCGTAAGATCCCGGGTGGCGGGAGGAGAAATCTCGGTTCGATCAAACGAGGAATGATCGCAGATCATTTGTTGCTCTGTTAGGATCGGCTGGCCAAAGAGGATGAATAGAGGCGTCTTAACACCGTCAGTTTTCTCGGATTTTTTACTCGAGCTACCAATGGTTAACAGGCAGGAAATGTTCTCATTTCGATCAGTGTAGCTCCTCGCCATGTTGCTGTCAAGAATTCGACCGTGAGGGTCGAGGCGGGTGACGCTCGGCTGGAACGGGAACAGTCCAGCCTGTAGTTTGTTGCTGAGTTGGAGGTCCAACGACGGGACTCCAATTCGAGCATGCCTGACTCCCTGTATGCCTACAGAAATGCTGTCGGGAAGACAACACAAGGGATTGCTCAGCCCAAGGGGATTGCCTGAGAATGGCGGCATCGGAAACCGGCCACCAGCACCAGCACTGCCCCCGCCGCCATCCAGTGAGAAATCTGGATGCTGTGACAGGCGCAGCTTCTTCCTCGGAGACGAGAAGGGCGAGAGATGGAGGACCGGCACACTAGCTACCATTTCAACTAGCCACGGGCTCACGCATTTGACATTTTGTAGAAGATCCGGCTCGTCCCACGCGACCTGCAGACATACATTACGATCTGTCTTCTTCGAACATAATATACACAGCAGAGTTACGCAATCGCTGATTACCTGTAGAATCCGCCAGAGCGAATTCGGCCAGCGAATGGGATCGGAGACCTGAACAGAAGTCACGGTTCCCATGAACCAGCTAATCCGCGATGAATCCTCGGTCTCAAAAGCCATCTTGAATCTCATCCCAGAATCCCACCGGATTTTCATGGCTGCATTCACAGAAGACGCCTTCACAAAGTACTCCGGTGTGCTAGCGCGGGGATAGTAAACGACCTCAAATGGCTGCCCCTTGGCGGCCATTACTGCAGCTTCAAGAACCGACTCTGGCATGACCTTTCCCTTCCCTTTCTCCCATGGATTTCTGTTCCCATGGATCAGCAGCTTCTTATCCTCCTCCAGAAAACCAGAGAAACCGCCATAGTTATAAGCTCCGGCTCCGGCGCTGCCGGAGTTCCACACAGATGTGGACTCATTTCCGTTTGCTCCAACGCCTCTCTTAGCCCGCCGGATTCCGACGCAGAGATCTCCGTTCTCCGCCCTGAGAAACACGATTGAATCCCCTGCTACGAGCTTTTTCTGATTCACGAAAGAACTCCAACCAGTAGTAAGCAAATGCCTCCTCGGCGTCCCCCTGTAGATGTGCCTAAACTTCCAGGTCTCGCCATGGACGTCTTTCACGATTACGTTCTGCACCGGCGGATCGGCGGTGTAGTCCAGACGAGGGAAAATTGTCTCCGCGCAGTACCGCGGGACAGAGAAGCCACCGCCATTGTTGGCGTCGGATTGTGTCAGCGTCTTCGCGAAGGAAGTAGGCTTTTCGTTCGTTGATTCAGATCTCTTCGCCCCCAAAGCTCCGCCGTCTTCGTCGTAGCCACAGTCGTTCTTCCCCACCGGAATCAGCCCGATTTTCGAGTAGACCTCGTCCGTCTCGAGGTCCGCCAGATATTTCAAGGAGGCAACCCTGCAAAGTATCATCGGTGGAATCCTCGGCAAACCTCCAAAATCGACATTACTCAGAGTGTGCTCCGCGTGACCTTGCGGAAAATAGTATACTCTGGAATTCACCGCCGGCATCTGCACCATTCCTCCGGCGCACGCGTGCCATAGCTCCGAATCCAAACAGTTCTCCGCCATTTCCTTCATCTCCGCAAACATATATAGACGCAAACATACACACGCAGTTGAATTCTGTTCAACAAACACCACAAGATCTTCTGCACTTCTAAGCTATTCCTTCAACAAAAAGCTGCGAATATTGAAAACAAAAACAAAAAAACCAGAAAAAGGATTTCAATCAGGAACGCATTCAACTCAACAAAACCGAAGCATTTAACCAGAAACACAAAATTAACATCAGAATCCTAAAATCATATGCTCTGAAGCACAGTAAAAACCGACCAGCCGACATTAAATTAACCACCACAAAAAAATGGATCCACAGACAGCCCCAAATCAGAGATCTGAAGAATTACATCTCAACAACACAAAAGAACCACAACACAAACTCTCCATCCCCTCACACCGCCAACAACACCCACACGTAAACCAATCCAATCCAATCCCCTCGCACTTCCACCGCGATTTCGCTACAACTCCACAGGAAACCGCCCCCGATACCCGGCTGCGAAGGCTCCTCACGCATCAAATGCATGTAAAAAACACACACGCTGTCCAAAACCACTCCACGAATCTGCAAATTCGACAAACAAAAAACCAAGAAAAAAAATAAATCGAGCACAACGCATCAAAATCCGCACCCGTGAGAGTACGATTCGACGCTGCAGTACACTACCAGTATTGCCGAAACATCGCGTCACCAATCGTCGGTTCCGTTACCAAATTTGCAGACGGAAACAGTGTCTCCTCTCCGCTCAGCCCTCGCTCTCTACCCGCTTTCTCTCTCTAACATTTTCCCATGGCAGTCAAAGTGATACACACATCTTTATCCTTTGCAGGTCAATACAAAACGACGGCGTCTCAGGTGTAGGTCGTGTTTGTCTGTCCGCTTCCTTTTCGTGCTTAGGATGTTTATTTTCAGATCTGAAATGAAATTCCCCCAAACAGACGCAAGCTTTTTTTAATCACTTGAATTAATTGCATCATTACCCTCTAAAGTTTAATTAATTAATTAGTAACCACCACTCCACACCACTCTTGTAAGGTGTAACTAATTTTTAGATTAGTAATTTCATCAACTTATGATATCTCCCCTTTTCTGGAAATTGCAAATATTTTCGGACTTTTTTCTTAACAAATATTTCATCTTTTCAATTTTACTTTTTCTAACATTCTATCACTTTTGCAAATTAATATTCCAAAATAACTTTATATGAATATATATATATATAATTATAACAACAAAATAATAATAATAATAATAATAACAACAAAAAAAACTAGTGTATTCACTTTTTATTTTATTTTATTTTATTATTCTCTTCATTTAGATTTGTTTGTAGTTTTATTTTTAATATAATATTTTAGATAATATAATTTTGATAGTTTTTTTTTATTACTTTATATGTATATTTCTTTAGAATTATTTTATAAATTAATAGTATAAATTTTAAAATTAAAAATAATAGTAAATAACTTTAAATTGAAATCGAACTAAATAATAAAATATATTTTATCAGAAAAAATATACCATTTGATTAATTAAATATTTACGATGTAAATTGATAAAAATTACTCATTTTGTTTTAAAATAATAGTAAATATAATATTATTTTTTATACTTTTATGTAAAGAGTATTGTTAATAATTTTAAAGTAAGGTAATTATATTCTATAATTAAAAAAAATTATATTTGAAATTTATAAAAAAATCAATAAAAATATATGTAATATAAATCTCGTTTAATAAATAATAGTAGTATAAAATTTTATATAATATAAATAAATAAAAATATAGAGTTTAAATGTAGATGAAAAAAATTGTTTATTAAAAAAGATAAATAATCAAAAAAATATTTGAGTGGATCATGTGATGTTATGTATTATAAAATTTGATTTACATTTGTTACACATATTTTAAATTAATAAATTTTATTAAATATAAAAATATATAATTGGTTAACAGAGAGGGGATGGAGAAGTAATTATTTGTTCATCATGTATTTTTATTTTTTATTTTTTTGCATAATATTTTATAGGTATTATTAAAAATATACTCATTCCATCTAGGATGTGTTTGGCACTAGATTTAGGTGAAAAGTACGGATAAAAGATTTTTTTGTTCTTATGAGTATATTAGTGTAAAAAGTAATAACAATTGTGTAATAATAATGAAAAAGTAAGGATAATTTTATAGTGATATGGTTATTTATGGAAATAAGACTATTGTTTTGTAACGGAAAAAAATGGTAAACAAAACTATTGTATTGGGATGGATGTAGTATTATTTATTCATATTTATATAAGGGTTTGTTTGGGGATTTGGATTTTAAGTTGGGATTTGAATAGTAAAAATTTTGAATTTAAATAATTGTATGATGTGATATAAAAAGACGTTGATGTAATTTTTTAATGTAAAAAACTAATCCCCAAACAAACACACCCTAAATATATTTTATTAATTTAAAAAGAACCAACAACTAAATAAAATATAATATTTTATATTAATGACGAAAAAAAAAAATTTAAAAAGAAAAAGAAAAAAAAAAACAAATCAAAACTCATGAATAGATCATATATCAATATGGCATTTTTTTTATTACAAAAATAATGATATAAATTAGTTTACCCTTTTTTTACATTGTCATATTCAATTTGGCACGAATCGATCTGTTAATTTCTCGTAGTTGTGAAAATGATGTGACAGGACATATATTTGTCCTTTTCGATTTATCTAAAAAAAAATATAAATAAATAAAGAATGGAGTTTCAATTTAATTTTTTCTTTTTTTTTTTTTCAATACAAAAAATCAATCTCCGTTTGCATAGAAGTTGCTAAAAAATTTTTTTTTAAATAATAAAATATTAAGAGTGTGTTTGTTTTGGGGTTTGGATTTTGGATTAGGATTTAAATAGTAAAAATTTTGAATTTAAATAGTTGTATGATGTGATATAAATATGTATTGATGTGATGTTTTGAATATAAAATTAATTTTTAGTATAATATAAAAAATAAAAAATAGTTGTTTGATTTGATATTTTTTGGGAAAAAAATTGGATGAATAGTTTAATTTAAATCCAATCCTCCAAACGAACACACCCTAAAAGTTTGTTTGTTTTGTGTTTTAATTTGAAAAAATAAAATAAAATTACTGCTTAAGATATAGAAAATTATTTGAATAATATAAAAATAATGAATGCACCTAATGTATTAATTCTTTTTAAAAAATATATTAGATATTTTGACAAAAAAGAATACATTCTAAATATAATATTCTTTGTGTTTCGGACACCCGTAATATTTTCATTTTTAATTAATTTCCTTTTTATTGTATTTAAAATAGTAAAAATAAAAGAAATTTGCATTTAATTACAAAAGATTAAATATTTTAAATCATTCTAGGTTAAAAATAATTTGTGTGTTTGTTTAATATTTTCGGTTGGAGTATTGTTTTAATATGAAATATAAAACATTAATATAAAAATAATATTTTATATTATATTGTTCATTTTTTCTCAAAAAATAAACTCTCACAATCTCATAAGTGAATACCTGTTTGCTTTTTACACATAGTTTAAGGTATATTAATATTATATTGATATGTAAGTAGGAATAAAGTAAAAATAACTAAAATAATATATTGTACTCCATCCGTCCCAAAGACCGTGCAATATTTGTATTTGTCACGGGAATTTAGGTAGGGAGTATTAAGTATGGTAATTTGAGATAATTTGGATATTAAGTAATGTGATTGGAGACAAAAATGATTATTTGTTTTTTTTTTTATTTGAGTGATGTGATGGAATAAAGTGAAGTGTATATTAATATATGTATATAAATATTACTCCCTTCGTCCACTTACAATGTTTACATATTTCTATTTTTGGACGTTCAATTACAAAATTAACATTTCATTAAATACCCTATTTTTTTCCACAAATATCCTTACTTTACATAACATCATTACTTTTACACAAAAAAAGTAAAGGCAAAAATATCATTACGCTACTTTTAACTACTCACTATAATTAAAATACTACTATTATTTCTTAAACACCGCTCCAAAAGTAAATGTAAATATTGTAAGTGGACGGAGGGAGTATTAATTATTTTTAAATTTGGAAATATTGCGGTGAGTTTGAGACAAAACGAAAAATGAAATATTGCAGGGTGTTTGGGACGGAGGGAATATTATATAAATGTAATGACATTTGTGTAATATATGATAAGTTGTAAGAGAATTTGTAGTGTTAGGTAGATAGTACAATTATTTAAAAAAATAAAATGAATACTTTGTTATAGTACGGACCAAAACGAAAAAATTGATAGTTTATCATGGGACGAATGGAGTAATATATATTTTATATATTGTATCAATGTAAATATATATTATACTTTTTATAATATTAGTCGAGAATCATATCAATAAAATATTGTTGGATAAACCAATATTTTTCTAATAATATTTTATACGATCCACTAACAAACTATACATATTTTTATTTATTTTTATATAATTACAAAATAACTATTCAAAAAATATTCCATTTTTCTACAATTATATTCATTTTACTATTACATAATTATATTTATACAAAATACCAAGAACAGAATTGTGTTACACTATTTTTAACTACCTATTATAATTAAAATATTACTGATTTCAAAATTCATGTCAAAAGTAAACTATATACTTTTAAATTGATTATATGTTATTCTTTTTGTAAAAATTTTACATATTCCTTCAATCCGACTTAAAGTACAATTTTTTACTATTTTTATATGTCTTACTTAAGGGGTTTTTTTGGTTCATGGATATGGAATGATCTATGTGATTTGGATTTTAAAATCCCAATGAATTCATATTTGGTACAAAAATAGACAATAGAATTTAAAGTAAATATAATTTTAAAATCCTACAAATGAATGATTTTCTTTTAGTAATGGGTACCCATGTTACTTTAAAATCATATTTCCACTGCATTTCACATTTTAGAACTGTACCCTCCTATTCAGCAAAAAAATAATTTCTTTTTTTTTTTAATATTATATGTATATTTATATTTATATTTAAATATATTACTACAAATACATATATTTATTTATAACCATTAATTTTATTTATATTTAATTATATTACTAATAATATTTTAAATAAATTAATAATTAAAATTTATTTGATTGGTTTATTAATTTCTATTTTTAGTTTTAATTATATTTTATATTAAATATGAGAAACAGTGTAGGTACTGTAAAAAAAATATTTCATGTTAAATTTTTGTATTTTTTAATTGTAGAGATTATATATTATATATTTGTATAAATCTATATATTATATTTTTTTAATATTAATCGAAAATTATATTAATTTTTTTTTTATTTATTAGAACACACCTAATTTGGTGAAAAATAAATAAAGTTCACAAAAAATAGATGTAAAGTTAATTTGTCATAATAAATAAAACTCGTTGAAGGATAATTATGTCATTTAAAATACTCCATCCGTCCCAAAAGTAAATATTCATTTGCTTTTTGCATATAGTTTTAAAAATATTAGTATTATATTGAGATATAGTATGAATATAGTAGAAATGACTAAAATAACCTTATTAGTATGTGTGATATAAAGATAATGTCATTTGTGTAATATATTGTAAGTTGTAAGGATATTTGTAATGTTAGGTAGATAGTACAATTACTAAAAAGGAAAATTGATATTTTGTTATGGGACGGACTAAAATGAAAAAATAGATATTTTGTTATGGGACGGAGGGAGTATAAAAAATCTAAATCCTTCAATTAATTTGCAAAACA